GGGGGTTGCAAATGAAGGCCCCGGTGAGAATTAAGCGCAACCTAGGAAACAAATTTCAATCTAGAGAACTGACTCTTACCCATTTCCCCAAAAGTAAAAACGTGTTTCCATAAAACATGACGAAAAGTCTTTGTTGGTATCCGAGCAATCGCGCTCTTGTTTTTCGCTGGCTTGTGATGAGCGCTTGGCAAGATAATTAATTAACATAACATTATTAATTAAGAAGAGTCGGTCCATTTCAGTCAGCTGACAAAGGTTGAAAAATCACGTGACCATCCCTCTGTGCTATAAATATGCACAGGCAGCAAAGTCATGTGACATTCCAAAATGGCATTCACCTGGATAATACCGTTAGCCATCAGTTGCCTTGTTTCAGGTAAACAAAATAATTTAGGCTTATGTTTAGCTTCATTTTATGCTCTACTTTTTTTTTTACATTACATTGTCTTTTACTTAACTTTCTTGTTGTTCAAGACCGTTGATTTAGCGCTGTTAAAAGAACTTTAGAGGGGAACTCCGTCGTTTACTTAGGTCAATCAACAATCACTCAGTAGCCTCAACTACAGCAGTTCCTAATGATGGTCATGACCAGGCGATCAGGACCAGACAAGGCAAGGACTTAGATCACAAAGGATGATTAGCCTCGAGGGTCAAACCAGACAGATATCCGAATGATTTACTCTGAATACCGGCATACCGGTACTCCTGTTACAGGAGTACCCTGAAACCATAAATCATTCACTCAAACTCAATGTAATTTATAAAACTGCAAAAGTAAGGATGTGTATGAAAACATTGCGTATCTTTTAGATTTTATTGTAAATGTATTTATAATTTATATTCTGACTCTTGTCTTATGCTTTTTCTGTCCCCTGTGTTAATTGATTTCAGTTTCCCTCTCTGAAGTGCTGGTCCAAAATCATGAAAGTTGAAAGCTTTATACACTTCCTTGTGCTGAAAAGCTGTTCATTTGATAAGTCGTGGATCTAGACTATAAGGGTGTACCAGTCCAGGATTTTGGATTTGAGTTTTCTAAAGTAATACATTCTTTTTGTACTCTATGTCTCTGACAGAAAAGGCCTATCTCCCCCGAAACCCCCTCATATAATACCCTATAAATTGTCATTGGTGATCATGGCATTTTATCATGATCTCGTAATTTCATGATCCTTTGTATTCTTTATTGCTATCTCTGTTCATATCAAATGATGCAGTCAGTGACAGTTTAGTGATATGAGAATTTATTACATAAAAGGATCTCGGAGAGGTCATTAATTATAACTTTCTCATCCAGATAACATCCAATAAGGCATTTTCTTATTGTGAAAAGTTTAAAAGTATGTTGGGTTTTTAACATGTCTTGCCTTTTTCAGTATGTCTCAGTCTGAGAGCATATATGTGAGGCATCATGGTGAAATCAGGTGCTCGAATGATGAAATCAAAGATATCGGCACTTTTCCGCTGGTTTTGCAATTTTTATCGAATTTTCGTTTTTTGACTCTGCACTTTTCCTCATTTTAAAACACGTTTACTGAAAAATGTTGATTAAAGGCACAAAAATGTAAACTTTCAGTTTCCAAGGACTCTCAGGCTATAGAAATCAATAACTTTGGCAACCATTTTCATTTTCTTGCTAACCAGGCGACCCCACCTCGTTGAGGAGCAAATAATCTTTACAAGATAGAATAGGTAGGCCTACTTTTTTGTTGAAAGACTGACTAATGAACAAGCTTTAATAGATTATATACAAATAACTCAACATACCCAAAAATTGACGGGCATCCACCGTGTCATGACACATGTGAGGCAACATGATGAAATCAGGCACTCGTCGAAATAATTTAAAAAATCACAGAAAACAGCTTTTTTATTTTGGTTTGTTAATTTTATTTCAAATTTTTATGTTTTGGATTAACACCTTTTATGTTAATTTAAAAACATACGTATTACTGTGTGGATTTTACTGGCAAACATTGATTAAAGGCACAAAATATATGTAAATTTGCAGTCTCCAAGGACTCTTCAAGCTTTGAAAGTCACCAACCTTTGGCGGCCATTTTCTCGCTAATTTTACCTTTGAAATAAGGGGACCCCCGTCTCCTTCAATCCCAAATATCTCTACTTTCCAAGATAGATGGGTAATTTTCTCATTGAAAGAAAAACAAATGAACAAGCCTTAAGATGAAACAAATGACTTCATACATGCATAGAAATTGACGAGCACCTGATTCCACTTCGTCCTGTTACACATATGGTGTAAAATACTATCATAATTAACAATGGACATCACTGGACCTGAGTTGAATTTCCTGTTTTTGGAACTTCCTTGTGTAGGGCTCTCTGGTTGTTTGCTTCAGCTGCTCTTTTCAGACAGTGTAATTTAATGATGTTCTGTGTTAAGCACTTATTGCTTTAAAGTGTGTCCTTTCTGCAAAATACTTTTGTGTTTATAAATCACTTCAATTGTTTACTTGTTGTTGTTTATTTTATATTTATGTGTTGTGTTAATTTTATGAAGCAGTTGCTATACTTTTTATTTGAACTGTTTTTTCAAGGTTTTTCTGCGAAAGCTTATTATGTTTTCAGTGTTTTCTTACCTTTATCGGCTGTTTTCTCACAATTCTATTTTTTCACACATTATTCAATTTTTCTGCTTTGTTTCTTGTTCAATTTCAATGTAACTTTCAAAGGATACCAACAACCCCTAGTTGTAAATTTTGTCTTGTTGAATTTTTGATTACTATTGAGTAGTTTTTGATTTACGGACTTACAAAGGATGAATTTTCCTTTTTTTTCGCTTTTTTTTGCGACAACTCAATTGTAAGTGTCATGTAATAAAAACTAAACCATATATAAAAAATACAACAAGCGAAATTGAAGAGCTACATATTTGCGGTTGGCATTCCAAATTAGAGGTGAATCTGTTAATAAATAAGGGAATAAAATGGGATTGAAAAAGGTATAAGAAATCCAACATGGCCGCCGTTTCCATAGCAACCGATTCCCAATATACTTTTTGAACTATTGATTTTAAATCCCCAATAACTCTTGATGTTTCACAACACATATGGGCACTCTAGGCCTTGTAATAGCCAAAATAGACCTCAGGGTCCCCACCAGCCCTTAAAATGGAAGTACTTAATTACTTCAATTTTTGCTTATCTACCTTTATTTACAAATGCAGACAGCCATGCTGTTGACAGCCTCCGATTCTTTGTCATCGGCGACATGGGAGGTGTGGACTATGAACCTTACACCACATACTATGAGCGGAGCACTGCTGCGGAGATGGGAAAAGTTGCTGAGGTGTTCGGACCTCAGTATATCTTTGAGCTTGGGGACAACTTCTACTATGATGGTGTGAAGGGACTCGATGACATACGATTTGATGTAAGTTGTAACATGCTATATAGAGATGGCATTTTTAATGGTCACTGCTTTGCTTCTTGTGACATTAACATCTTACACCCAAGAAGTAACAATGCAATAGAATTTGTGGAGTCCATAGTAGAATTCAGGCATAATTTTTCTAAACATCCAAAGATACATGGGAAATCCAAGGCAATGAAAGTATTCATATTCGTATAAGATTGTTTTTCAGTTTGAAGCTGAAATTTTAACCTTTCTCATTTAGTAATCATGGTGTTTTAGAACATAATTTTATAAAAACCCTTGGGTGTCAGAATGTGTATTTTAAGTGAAGAAAAATCAAAAGGTAGGTATCCATATTCAGAAAAAGCAAGTGCAGTTCCTATAATTTCTTTCCACCTCAGCTTTTGAAAAAAATTGCAAAATTTGTTGTTTTAGTTATTAACTCAGTTTTTGATTGGCTTTCACCAAATACTAAATGTTTATGCTTTTTTACTTGTGTATGTTTGAAGAATGTGTATCAAAGAGTAGATTCTATTTATATTATGTATGTATCTTTTTTTATTTTCGTATGATTTTCAGCGCACCTTTGAATCCGTGTATACAGCGAAATCACTGCAAGTACCCTGGTACTTGGTGGCCGGAAATCATGACCACAGGGGAAATGTCACAGCTCAGATATTGTATTCCAATGTTTCTGAGAGATGGTATGTAATTTTCCATACAGATAGAATCTTTTTCCCTTTAGGTTTGTATTTTTCATAGTTTGTAAAGTACATAGATTCAGGAGTGATTGATCAAAGCATTATTTTTTTTTAATTATTCACTATATTGAGAGTACAATCATCTCGTTTTTCAATATTTGAAATACCTAATTAACACTTTGTGATCACTTGCCGCAATAATGCGCCGCTGAAAATTATTCGTTCCAGTCATACCTGGTGCAGCCCGAGAAGTCCGACAGTCACTCTCCTGGCTGGGTGACCAGATGGGGTATTTTGTTCTGCTGGCTGTGTGACTGCAAAGTGTTAAATTATGCGTGTGAATTGTCTATGTTTGTGATATTCTGTATCATTCATACATCTCTATGTGTATTAATTTATTTGTTTATATATTTATGTATGTCAATGCCAAAGAAATTTCCCAAGGGGATCAGTGACATAAAATGTTATTTTCTTATAAGTTAATTTTTTTAGTAGAGATATATTCCAAAGTTGTAGTGACAGCCACACTACTGTTGTCAGTTAGTCGCGACTGTAGTGGTGGTCTAAAGCAATATGTGATAGTCTAAGCCCAAAGCCCTACTAGGTTGTCGTGCTTAAGTTGTGCAGGTAGCTAGTTCTTAGATATTTATGATCAATATATTTATTGTGGTCACACGTCTATTGACCCTTGGCATCAAAGTAAAGGTAATCTTTTCTATAGATTTAGCTAATTTTTGCTTCATTTATTCTCTTTGGTAATGTTTTTGTTCTGTCTTTGATTGGAAGAGCTTTAAATATTAAGCTGTTGGTAAACAATATTCCAAGATATCACAGTTTCACTAATAACATCAGTTCACTTTTCCACCTTTATATGATGTAACCCATGTCAGCTCAGAACTTTTGTTTCATAATATTGTTCTTTGACAATGTCAGGAACTACCCATCTTACTATTACTACCGTGAGTTCCCCATCGACTCAATGGGACACAAAGTAGGCATTGTGATGATGGATACCATTCTTCTGTGTGGAATCACTCATGATGACGTTCACGAGCAGCCAACTGGCCCAGCCCACAAAGGCTCTGCAGAGAAACAGTGGGATTTTATAATGCAAACACTGGCCAATAGCAAGTGAGTTCAACTTGAATATGTGTGTCTCTTTTCTGACACATATGTTATTTGTTTGCTTAGTTTATTGATACGTTTTATTGACAGTATTTGGTTTCGCAATTTGACAGCGTCCATAAAACTGAACCAGTAGTAATTTTGAGCAAATTAGTATTTGAAATACATCATTTGAAGCCAATACAAACGAGAAGCAATAGAAAAGTACATGATATAATGACCTCTCTGTGTTCATGGTTATTCATGTAAATATATGTGAAGAGATAAATGAATTAGAACGGTTGAAGTGCCAGTGGAAGGAATAAACAGAGGCACATATTTGCACAAGTTTAAGAACAGCTTCTCCACATCAGAGAAAAAAACCAATGACATACCATACTGCACTTATGGGTGTCTACGATGAAAGATATGTGTTAACACTATCTACGCATGCTATTCATAGTATTTTTTTTCTTTGCAAACTACTTCTGTTTCAGTGTACCATCACTTGTCCTCAAATTTACATCATTATCAGTGCGATGTATTACTTGTGTTGTTATAATCCCCTCTTGCTAACCTTTTCTGGACTGATTTCTCTACTTTTTGCTGTTCCCCTCAGAGCTGATTATCTGTTCACCGCTGGGCACTATCCTGTCTTCTCTGTCGCTGAGCATGGACCTACCAAGTGTTTAGAGGATCGTCTTCAACCAATGCTGGAGAAATACTCTGTGAATGGGCACATGTCAGGGCATGACCATAATTTGCAGGTGAGATAGGAAGGCTTGCATTTGACAGTTGCCTATTTGAGTGCTGACACTGCATTCTCTGTTCTTTGGTTTGTTTGCAATATTTTTTTCTCCTGGTCTCATTATCTGTTTTTCAGGTCTGGTGTTGGATACAAGTAATATTGTGTGCCTAAAGATGAGGCTTAGTGGTACAAAAGAATCTCTCTGAAACAAGATAAATTAAAAGACAAATCATTACTGTGGTTAATGATGCTGATAATGAGAAATGGTTGGAGTACATTGTGCTGTTATGTTTTTGCTATTCTATGATTTGTAATTTTAATACATGATACCTTACTACTCACAAATTGGTCCACTCTAAAGCAGAGCTCTTGGCTCAGTGCTAAAATTAAAGAAACAGGATTTTAGGCCACAGGGATATGTTCAGACTGTTTTTGAATTGGAAGTGTGAAACAGTGGACTGATGTTTGTTGAAGTTTCTGAACTCTGAAAAGTGTAATTTGTAAACCCTTAGCTCAATTTGTATAGGAGTACAGTACTTGATTCATAATTTCTTTGTCACAAATCTTTGAACTTTGGTAATCTGGGAAGCTTTTTTAAGTTTTAGTTCTAGTTTGAGTTACAGCAGGTGCAGCTCAATTAGGTAGGTGCTGAACATTAGAGGTGTTACAAGAGAGTAAGAAAGAAGAAGGGGGGATAAGGACGATAGATGTTTGATTGGAAAGAAGGAGCAAACCACACCAGAGCACCCGCCAACCAGCCGTGGGAAGGTTTTGTGGCTCTTAACTCTTATAATAATAAGAATAATAGCAATAATAATAAAGATCACTGTTATAGTGCTCACTCCCAGTTGACTCTAGGCACTTTACAGTAAAATAGAATACAGAATCTGACAGCTTACACAATGGCATTTTTCATGCATACTTGTCCATTCAGTGTACAACAATTCTTTCAAATGCTTACAGACATATATACATGTAGCCCAAATAAGCTCTCCCAAAAGTAGTATGTGTAGTAGCTTTTTGTCTCAGCAATTATTCAAAGAAATAATCTTTCTTTCCTTTCATTTTCAGCATCTGCAAATCAAGTCCCCCAAAGGAACCAACCTAGACTACTTTGTGTCTGGAATGGCAAACTTCATTGACCCAAGCCGGGCTCACTACGAAGATGTACCCACTGGCTCTTTGAAGTTCCATAATGCAGACTTCATCACTAAAGGAGGATTTCTGTATGCTGAGACAACTGTGCAGAACATGACTTTGACCTTTGTTGGTGCAAATGGTAAACAACTCTACAAAACAGTTGTCAGTCCCCGTAAACTTTAATTCTCCTGATAATGTTTTTTTGTGATTTAACGTGTTTGGCAATTTTTTTGTCCAGACATTAAAAAGAGCTTGCTGTGTTGATTCTGTTTTTATCTTGCAAATGAGCAGATTTTATTCTATTGACATGATTATGTGAGATGTTTCGAGCAACTGGTATGTTATACTTTTTGGCTGTGTTGTAATGTTAAATTTTCCCTGACTGTCAAATTTCATTTTTTACATAAAACATCAAAATATGTACACAATGCTCTTGATTGATGAGTGCCATACAACATGTTTCGAATCTATTACTGCTGAGATTAGTTGCTGGAAATGCTAAATGATTGATAAGACTCTTTATGATTTGGTCCCTTGTTTTGTTGTGAGATCAAGATGAAGATGTGCAGTGTAATTATTGTTTATATATTGGTATTACCGTTACTTCAGTGGTCAAAACACTCGCCTCATTGATTGCAGGCCTGTTTAGATAACTGCACTACCCTGGTAGAGTAAGCATCTGTGGTGAAATAGTTAGGTTCTTCAAAGTTTCACCATAAAGATGTTAGTTTGATTCCCTCTCGGAGGAATTGTATGGAATATTTCCATTTTTCTGCTGGACTATGGCATCCTATTCGGCCTGGGTTTGCCATTTACAGGAATGATTAAAGCAGCCCACCTCTGAATTATCAAAATTGTGTTGGCAGGGATGTACAACCTTTATATACTTTTCTACTAGCTCTGAAGATTATCTTTGAAAAAAAATTAATTTTCCAATACTTGCATACATTCCACCATATTTCTTATATTGTGCCCTACCTTTTAACCACTTCACTTTGATGGAAAGAGATGTAAAGGTTGTCAACAGCAAATGATGTGAAGTCGAACATTAAAGCCAGCATACATGATACTCTGTGATGTGCCAGTATCACTCATTTATCAAAGCTACATCAAAGTGAGGGCATTCTTGTGTGGGATGTATGATATCAATGGAATTAATTTTTTCATGTATAATTAACTGGAAGTTATCTTTCTTAGTGCTTCAATAGTTTAATGTAAATGAATTTTCATTGTTTTTATAGTTATATTTGTGTACTAACTCAAAAGTCAAAACAACTGTTGAATGATGTTTGATTAATATTTACAGGTGAGACTTTTTTTTCTAAGTTATGAGTTTTGTTTCAAAAAATGTTTTCCCTTTTAAAAGTGTGGAATACATGTAGGCCTACATATGATCATGATACTGAGAACTATGGCAAAATGAATTGCATGTATCAAATCAAAGAAACAGTTTCTACTTAACTTAGGCTTTACAATAACAAAATTGACAAAAGAAAGAATTTTGCTGCAGACATTTTGAGACTTCTACCATCTTAGCATTTCAGTCGTTATCCATTTCTCCAAAGGAGCACTGGGAAGGTTGGAATGAGCACTTTTTGCCAAGGTAGATAATCATCTGTTTACTCTTTGAAAGTTCTTTGCCACCTCAGAATTACAAAGTTCTATCTGTTCAGTACCTAGTTTTGAAAACTTTGACATTAAAAAAAATTGGAGTTTCATAACACGCCTTTTTCAAATTCCAATCTTTGAATATCTTGATAATGACTCTGAATGATCTTATGATTTTGACAGAGCTAAAGAACATTTGGATTCCTCTTTATCCAAAATTGTCAGGTAAACCTATGTAATTCTAGGTAGCATGTTGTTGTGATGAACCACTCAGGAATCCGTAACATGACAATGTACAGGTCAAAGCCTGCTCAAGCCGATAAGTGCGCGCTGGCTCGCCTGATTATCCGGCCTGACCCGATCCTGCAGACATTATACTGTACTTGGCACTTGAAGTAAAGTATTTTTCTGTGTGAACAATCATCATTGAAACAGGGTATACCTTTTTTTCAGCAGTGTGACCCTTTTTACCCTCTTTACATTTGTGTAAATTTACTTCCTGTTCTCAAGTATGACATAGTATGCAACACAACCTAATCTAATGGAATTTGATACTTTTCTTGTTGTTCTGTTTTCTACGCAATAAATTATCTTTTTTAAACCGTTGTTTTTCGTGTTTTGTTTAAAGCCTATTAATTTGTAGTCTATGAATATAAACTTGAATTAGGTTGAAAGCACATTTCATATCTTTTTTTTTGCAGGAATGTTCAGTAGAACAGATTTGTAGTGAAATGAATGATTTGGTTTTCACCGCTAATGACAAAATATGATTTTTAGCAAAAAATTAATAAGCCTTGAAAAATCACACAGTTTTTATACATGTATCTTATTATTTTCAGATGTTCGTACAAGGGACGGGGTTTGAGTTTGTTTAGTTGAAATCAAGCTGGACTGTCATATATGGATGACCTAGGTTCAAATCTATTCTGGGATATTCTTGAACTGTTGTAGCTTGAGGACTTCAAGGCTTTCAAACATTGTTGAAAATGGACACTAAATTCAGAGGTCACACCTGCTCTTAAATAACTTGATGATGTTGAAACTGCATTGAGCCCATATCATATCCCACTAATTTCTTACATCTCTCAAAAGTTTCACAGCAAACTGTGGAATCTGGTAGGCCTTTCCCAGGAAACTTTGAAACCTGACACCATACTTCCTGATTCATATCACCCCTATTAAGCAAACATGAGGGATCATAGCTTTGATCAGACGCTAAAAGTGATCCATAAAACTTATTGGTTGATCAATATTTTGGACAAAATGTAATACACCTACTTGAATGCTCTTTCACAAAATGAATTACATATAACACAAATCATACTTTAAATACTTCAAATGTTGTCCATAGTTTGAAAAGCTATTGGATCTATTTTTAAAAAGACTTGTTTTGAACATTGGGCTGTATCATACACAGAGGATTCAAGGTCCAGAAAGTGTCTGGGTAAAGTACTTAATCAACTTAATCACATCACCACATCAAAACCTTCACTCTCTCACACAGTTTCAGGCAAATGATTGTAATTTGTTTTCGTGACCGACATTTGTCCTATCAAACTATTGAAGATAGCTGTTCTAGCTGCCAGTAAAGTTATCGAAACAGTATTTCATTGTGTTTAGAATGTGAAAGTACGTGTCAAAAAGAGGGAAATTGAGGTTGATGGTTGGCGGGTGCCCTGGTGTGGTTTGCTCCTTCTCGCCTAACAAATTTTCATCGTCCTAATCTCTCCTTCTTTTTGGTGTTTTTTACTCTCTTGTACCATCTCTAATCTTCAGCACTTATATGACCTAATATAATGTTGCAAGTGCTGTAAAACTCTCACTAAAACTACCAGAGAAATTGAGTAGGCCTACATATTGTAAAGATGAGAAAGATGGTCTTGCAGTTAGGTCATAAATTGGAAATGGAGTGCTCAGAGAGACTTAAAGAGCAGAATATGAACCAATTCCAATATGTAGGTTACTCATTGCAAATGGCATTTCCAAGTAGGCCTACATCTTCTATTTGGCCTTTGCAATAGCCTCATACACCATCGTCACAAAACTTAAGATGTAGACCAATGCCATTATTGTGCACAAACATTATCGTCCTTTGTAACGAAATCGCCTTTTATTTAAAGTCTTCAAATAACAAACTTACGAGATTCGCTTATTGTATAACTTTATAAGAAGTAATGTAAAGTCTAGTGGATCAAGGGGAAGACCGCATGCATGTGGAACCCGGAGAAGAATCACAGAAATTGAAAGGTGGAAAGTGTTTGTTCATGGCTTATACCCTTGCACGGTGAGAAAAGCAATAATATGATATGATAATGATGTTCGGTATTTAGCTCATAAATTACTCGAAACAGTTTGGCTCACAACGTATTCACCTCATAAATACATTATTATGGCTTTGATACTCTCTGAATACCTGTATTATATATTCATTTTGATATAACATCAGTCACAATGCTTTATAATGTTATAAAAAATTGAATCCCCTTTCTTTCTTTTACTTAGACATGATAGATATCAATACTATCATGTTATCATGGGAGTACTCTGTGCGTTGCTTTAAAGTTGATAGGTAAATAGTTATAATTTATTTCCTCCTAATGTACTACTACCATATATGTATTTCAATAATTAATTGATGTATCTTTAAGAAAAAACCAAACGAATAATTTCTAATTGTTTGGGATGAACTCGTTTCTGCAGGAGAGCTGCTTTGCTATCCAAATATCGAAAGTCGATTTTTGATCCATTGATATTATGCTACTGGAGATTGCGGGCGTGGGGGGCTGGGGAATTCCCAAAAGGTGCTCAACCCGTGTGCTCAACCCACAGAATTCTACACTTAATGTAGAATTCTGTGGCTCAACCAAACCGACACACGCGCAAACTCGATGATGGTTGGCAAGAATGAGGCTTTTTTTTTCAGCACTCGAGATCATATAAAAGCCTATTTTCTCGGGCGTTCTGTCATAGAAGTAAATAGATAGCTGATCATTAAATTGATAAGTAGTGCATGTTTGACTTGGATATTAGCTGGTATACCTTAATTGAAAAATAAGTGTGTATAATATAATATACGCCTATACATGTACGTTCATTTCAGTTTGTAATTAAACTATACAGAGACTCTTTATTTGACAGTTGACACCTAAAATCTTTCATGCTTTTGGCACCTGCGAAACGGGAGAAATTCAGGATGAATTAGTTTTTTTCTTCAAATAGCATCCGAGCTGATTAAATGAATAGCAAACCACGATTGCTAATGTCTGTCTTTGAATTTGGACTTGAAGAAATACGAGCAATGATTGATTCGATGGACGGGAACTAAGTCTTGGACCAAAATGTTTTTGGTACGTACATGTACGTCCAAACAAAGCTTTTATTACTACATCGCGCTCGCTCTCTCATGCCTGCCACAAGCTACTTCCGCTAAACGTACTATTAGATCTTGATCTCGCTTCTTCATCTAGATATTTAAAGGTCGATGGTCTTTCTCTTTGACGCGGAAGTTTGGGGGGTTTGGAGATGATCTAGGCCTATAGAGATAAGGCTAAGGCTTCGCCTAATGGATTGTGTCGTATGTTGAACGAGGGGTATAATACTTTGAGACCTGCCGCCAGTCCTTCAAACCTAAAGGTATCTTTAGTCGGTTTTTACCAAAGAATTCTTGCAGTAATCATGTACTATTATTTAGCTGTTATGAACTAGATCTGGATCTAGATCTAGATCTAGAGGTCTCTTGTCAGTAAGTTGTTAGTCTAGGCCAGATTGTTATAAAAGTAAAGTAGATCTAAATCTAGATCTAGATCTAGATCTAGATATAGATTCTATATCTAGATCTAGATATATATCTAGATCTAGATCTAAATTTAGATCTCTAGTAGATTCTATTACATAAACAACACTCAACAGTGTCAACAGCTAGATCTAGATTCTATAATTTTATAATTTATAGACGGTAGCATCAATTGCCACCGAGTGATGCGGTGGCAATTGACACAAATTGACGGTAGTGTCAATTGCCAACGAGTAAAGCGGTGGCAATTGACAATAATTGACTGCAGCGTCAATTGCCACAGAGTGAAGGGGTGTCAAGTCTGAAAACACACTATCTTTAGTCTTTAGCTTTCTATTCATGTGTGTCTAATGGGTCAATTTGTTCTCTCTACTAATTTCATTGGACGAACATCTAGTCTAGAGCTACGGTACCAACTTGGCGTGTTTTCAACGAGACATAGGCCTAGATCTAAGCTAGCCTTAGCCTACACTTCGTTGTAGAACCAACACAGGCAATTATAGAAGTAGAAGGTCACAAACGCGCACAAACTCAAGCAGAAATTCATTTTATATCAGGGAACATAAATCCGGGGGATGGGGGTCAGGAAAAGACACAAACCCACACACACACACAAAGGCAGAGGGACAGAGAGGCAGGGCGGCTTGTGGGGCTAAAAAGGGGGCCTGCACAATAATAATTCAGCTATCGCATTGTAATGAGATGAAGTGCTATCTAATCCTAGATTCTACTTGTTAGTCTATCTACGTTGGTTTCAATACTCACTGTTTCGATCGGGGAACGATCATGAGTGTGAGTCGTACAGGTCCGGAGCTCCGTCCACTGTGTCGACCCACCAGTAGCGTCGATCCCTGCTCAGACTAGGTTTTAGTCGTGGCTCGGAAGGCCTGTTCAACCTTCGCCGTCTGTTTATATACCCCCTGTGCTCCCTTATTCTTCTACACTCACTAGGCTACACTGAGTTTGTTTACTTATTTCACGTGATTCTGGCTTGTCTGGTGATCACAGCGAATTATAAACCACACGCCCCCTTGATCTCATTGATCAATACGATAAAAACCAACACCCCACATAAAGAGAATACACGTAAGTCACCCCAGTTTAACCCATCACGATAATACTAAACACAAAACAAGGGGAGGATATTCAAGAAAGTCCTGACGTCCCGTCCCAAACCAATCTCTCTTTATCCCTCCATTCCCCCCTCTGCGTTACGGTTAACCCAGGACATAATCGTCCTGCGACAACGGGGCCCTCCTTGCCCGTTGCAGGAAACGCCTGTCAATCTCTCGGCACTCTTCACTCTCTCCTTTCTCCTCCGATTTATATCCCCTGAGATCGCGCACATCTACGGAATCCTGGACACTAGCCCTCAACGTATAATCCCAGCAGCTCGCCTTCTTGTGGGCTTCTTGGGCGGCAACCGCCAACATTTCGATTAATTCTCCATCTGTCGCTATTTCTAGTCCGTCCGTCGCTCTTTGCTCATGCCCGACAGCTTCCTGCTGACCTTGAGAGGCCGCCGCAACCTCCCTCAGTCTCGCTTACGTATCCTCCCTCAGCCTCTGCTGCACCCTTCTCTCTATCTCTTTCTCCAGATCGACTTCGTCCAACCACTGACTTTTTCTACCTTTTTCAACCTCTTCACCACCGGTGTCATTCGAAACTTTCCTTCCTTTCTCGTCTCCTCTGTCATCATCGGGCATCCCTCGAGACTTGGCCGTTTCTATTTTTAACTTTTTCTTATCATTTTCGCCATTCTTCTTCTTTTTCTTCTCCTCACCATCGTCAACGTCACTGCTATCTCTCCTCCTCCTTTTCTTGTCTTTATCTCTGCTCTTCCTCTTCTTTTTCCTGTCCGTTCTCTTTGTCTTCCAGTCTGACTCCTCCTCCTCCTCCCCTCCCCTCCCGTCTTTAGAGGCCCACTTGCTCTCTCCTCCCTTGGAGTTCTCAGAACTGTCTTGTGCTACGCCGGGCTTTGTCTCCGCGTACTTCTGTCTCAGCCTCTCCTTCTCCTCCCTCTTCCTCCTCTCCAGAACCGACAACTTGTTCGAGGAAAGTATCGGTCGATTCAGATTCAGTTCATCCATGACGGGCTTCCGGAAAATCTGTGACCCCGCTCCCCCCGTTCCCGACTTGCCCCCTCCCCCCTCCTCATCCACTTCCTGTCGTCTCCTTGAGGGTTTGACAGCGTCCCCACCGGCAGCCGCCCCCCACCAGACACACCGACTTCCTCCATCTGCTGCCTCAACTCAACAACAAACTTCTTGCTACCAGAAGACTCTTGCGACCTCTCTCTCATCTGTCTCGACTCAACAACAAACTTTACATCGAAATCCTTGTCATGAATGACAGTTCTACCCTTGCACATGTTTGTTCCCCTGCTGGCACCCCTAAAACCAAGCACGCCACCCGTTTTCCAAACTGGATCTTGTGTTGCCCCACCGTCACCCCTCCTAGCTGTCCGATTACATCCATGCCAATCAGCACATCTATGCCCCCGACTATGTGATCAATCACAGTTGCCCTTGTACTGACTTTTTCGCCATCTACCTCCATCTCAATCTGCGCCCTCCCTTTGCATTCAACGGCTCTTCCATCAAATGCTGATACCTGCACCGCATCTCCGGTCCATCTGTCGACCAACCCAGCCCTGATGTGTTTGAACACCCCGTGTCTATCAATGCGTGTCGACTGTGACCTTGCACGGTGACTGTGATCGTTGGGACCCCTCTTACTTACTCCTGTAACGCACACTGCGTCACACCCAGGACTCGAGCTTCCTCCCCCACGACTACCTTTACCAGCTTGCTCGCAGTACGCCGCAATATGCCTTTCCCCACCACACCTGTAGCACACAAGTGACTTTTTCTTGCTTAAATTCTCTGGGCACTCTCTAGCAAAATGACCCCCCTCACAAATGAAACACTTTACCTGACTGGTGTTGTACTGCATCATCCCCCGCCCCCCAGATTTTTTGTATCCCCTTGCCTGATCTATTGCTGCGGCTGCAAGCCCCCCACCCACTACTGCCCCCTTGTTTGCTGCCAGGACCCTAGCTCTACCAATAATGTCTGCAACTCTCATCGACTCCACCCCTACCACCTGTTGCAGTTCCAAGGCTATGCTGTATGGAAAGCCGGTGACAAAAGCCAATTTCACCAGCTGCTCCAGCCCCTCTCCTGAGAACCCACAAGTCCTGCCTACCCTCCCCAACTCATTGGCGACCTCCACCGCTTCCCCGGTCCACCTCGTCTCACGCAGTTTTGCGAAACCAACGAATTGGTTGTCGCAAAACGCTTCCTTCAAGTTCTTCTTGATGAGCTTTACGCTCCCCTTCTCTTCTTCGCTCATCTCTAGATACACAGCTAGAGCTCCCTCCTCCAGGTACAATGGGATAAAACTGGCCACGTCTTCAATGTGAGTCGGTTTAGCCACCAATTCCGCCTTCTGCAACCAAGCCTCGACGTCCGCCTCCCCAGTAAACGGTTTGAGCACATCACACTTGATACTCGGGCCCATCGCCATTTTTGACCTGCTAGCTATCACTGCAAAAACCCCTAGATCTGGACTATAACAACTAGATCTAAATCCAGTCCTAGATTCTAGGTCTAGCTTAGCCTAAGGTCTTAACGATCACGATATCCCGCCTGGCATCCACGCCACACGTCAAATAAAAGCCGAAATAGCTTGTATTGAGATGATAAGGGCTATCTAATCCTAGATTCTACTCGTTAGTCTATCTACGTTGGTTTCAATACTCACTGTTTCGAGCCAGGAACGATGAGTGTGAGTCGTACAGGTCCGGAGCTCCGTCCACTGTGTCGTCCCACCAGTAACCAGTAGCGTCGATCCCTGCTCAGACTAGGTTTTAGTCGTGGCTCGGAAGGCCGGTTCAACCTTCGCCGTCTGTTTATATACCCCCCGTGCTCCCTTATTCTCCTACACTCATTAGGCTACACTGAGTTTGTTTACTTATTTCACGTGATTCTGGCTTGTCTGGTGATCACAGCGAATTATAAACCACACGCATGCTGAAGGTAGTCAAGGGCATAGTAAATGAGACGGTGTATAATTTTAGGGGGTTGGTGAGGGAGGGCCTCGTGCTTTTATTTTCATTCTTTTTACTTGCCACTTTGTTTTCTAGTTACTAAATTTGTTTGTTAGCTAAGCATCAATTTCGTTCATCCTGTATTGGAACTGAACGCTCAAGTATGTGTAATAACTTTCAGTACTCCAGTACAAAACCTTTCAAAGGCACAACTCATAGGACGGTCATGTTCACCTCCCTCAGGTTCACGGTTACAGAGTCACTTAAAATAGTGGCAAAACAAACAATGAATCAATCACAATTCACTTGAGCACTCTGCTGGATTGCTCCGGGGCTCACATAATATTGGCAAAGAATAGCGTAGGGTCTATCGTTTTTATTTTTAGACAGCCTACTGTGGGCTATGTTTCGGCACTATTCGGCAGGAGCACATTTGAGATGTGCCGGCTTATTAATATTAATGTACCGCCAAACTCGCTACGAGTGTCGTCATCGCTTGGGTTATCTCTAAGAGTGTTTTATAGGTCAGTGGCATGGCATAGTAGATGTTTTACGGCGCTATAGAAATGACAGTTATGGCGCAAGTGAGGTCCTTTGTTTTGATATAATATTTGGCTAGTGTTTGTTTCTGGCTTCTTTTATTTTATTGTTGTGGGTGTTTTACGTAATAGAATATTAAAAAATTTTGGGCGGCACTGCACGACTGTGCTTTATGGACAAACCGCGCCTGCAGAGAGGCGAACACACAACACCGAGCGCTCGAGAACTAGGCCTGGGCAGGACTTGGACTTGGACTTGGGACTTGAAATTCTTGTGCCCACCAAGTAGAGTGTTTGAGCTCAAGTATTTAGATCTGAGCAAGTCCAAGTCTCGATCTAGCAAAATATCCCTCTATGAAAAGACCAAATTATTTAAACACAGAGTACAAACTTTGAGTATAGATCTAGATTCTATAGACTAAGTGAACCAATGTCTAAAGAAATTATGCTCTAAACTGGTATGTTTCTAATAAATTTAGTGTTTTCAGTTGGTTATTTTAATTCAAATACATCTACCACCCCTACTACTTTCTAGGACTTGCTCGTCCTAGGCGGATTGGTTGAGTCCATTTCTTCAATAAAGGATAGGCAATACCAGCCCTATTACTATTTGCTCGCCCTTGGCAGATTGGTTGAGTCCACTTCCTCAATAAGGGGTAGGCTGGCCTAGGCCTGGATGGCTTCAATGCCAGCATTGCCATCCAAGGCTGAAGCAATTCCTGAGTTTATTAATACAACGGAGGACAGAACAGAAAACCAACAAACAAAGAAAAAAAAATTCAGAAAAAATAAAATATCAACCAAACAAGTATCACAAAGATGTTCCATACCTCTCAACATAGGTGGTTGGTTGGAGAACAACAACAAAATAATGATAACGATAAAGGGAAGTAATGCAGATGGCTTTACTATCAAACAGACTATTATATAATAATATTAATATATATATATATTGCATGTATACTTTATTACATCTCCTGGACTTGGAATTGGGCTTGAGACTTGCGGGTCTCAAGGTGTTAGGACTTGAGACTTGCAAGTCCTATTTTTAGCAATTCTGCCCAAGCCTATCGAGCACAATAGGCTAGATCTAGGCTACTCACCAACGCAAAAGAGCTCCAATTTACTCAGTGGCAATTGACGCTGCTGTCAATTTTTGTCAATAGCCACCGCGTCACTCTCATAAACATAAAGTGTATTTCACTAATTACCACTGAACAATCCACTGATATATATAGGCTATATTAAATAAATAAGTAGCAGTAGATCTAGTAAAGTATGTTTTTATATGATTTCAATTTCATCTGATTGTCTGGCAACTAGATTCAAGATTTATGATTTTATTTTTAAACAAAGTACAGTCCACGGCGTCACTTTTCGCCCGATTCTGTTACCTTTATAATATAGTTAGCGTGACTCAGCAGCCCGCCGGAGCTCCCCGGCTCGGGGTCATGGGGTTAATGAGCCCTGAAGCGACTTTGCCGGTGTTGGTTAGGAAGTTTGCATTTTTGACTATGTTTAAAACTACATTATTTCTTCCCCATCCGACACAGCAAACCATCAGGCGGATGTACTAAAAGCTCAATGTCTTTAGATTTATTCTGCGTTAGAATGGTTAATTTCTGTGCCTTTGTTTTTGTTCTAGATAAGTCTTTGTAGAGTACCTAATTTGTCCTATTTTAGTTACAAACTTATGAATAAATGTTTGTTAGTTTAAAAAAGGCACGACAGGTCTCTCCAAAATCAGTGTCAAACTGACTACGAATATCATTTCTTTTACCATGAGAAATCTTATATCTGAGCGAGTAGTAATAGTCAAGTTATAAGAGAAGAAAGATGCACATCTGCATTTTTAAACTAAGGACGATCAGCGTTAGCTCTTATTTTACTATATTAAACAAGAGAAAGTTACTCTATGATTGTTCATGAATCATGCTGTGTCTGTGGCAGCCTGCATACAACTAAAAAGATATAATATTTATAAGCGATTAAAAAACCCCACAAAACCGTGTAAATACATGGGTAGAGATAAACTTCTTGTATGGAATTAAAATAATGACAGCTAACTCATTCATTCTTAGTTTTTGTGTCGGAAATAAGCGCGGACACAATTATGATTGTAAAGAAATCAGTCACTTTGTCAGTTATTGCAAATGGTTATAGAAACGAAAAATAAAGCTGGAAAAGTCTGGTGCTGATTCAGTGTCCCTGGAAAACTATAAATTATTCTTATAACCCAATTACGAGAAGTCATCCCTATTAATGTATTATTCACTCACCTTACAAAACCTAGACTTGCCATTTTTAAAAAAGTAAGGAATTTCTGGAGTGTAACAGATACTGTTCGTGTATTACATTGAAGATATATTCTGCCTGGCACTAAAATCAATTTGTACGTTTCACTGAGAAACTTCATGGTAACTTTATAAACTTTCGAGAAAATGTGAATATTCACGATTATATTAGACACATAAAGTCGTATTTGGAGGAATTACTTCATAGCGAACTGTGTGCCCGATGGATAAAGTTGCAAAATTACAGCTTTCTATTATATGCGCAGATACCATCTTTTCTGAGTATCTGCACCAATGCTATGTCGTTCATGTTGCTAAAGTTCGACAGATTTTGTTGAGGCCTTTTTTTATTTTTATTTTTTTTCATTCACGCTAGTCCGAAAAAAAATTACAATTTAGCATTGCCGACTCCAGCGCGTCTAAAAAAATAACCAGACAAGTTACAAAGTCCGTTCTTTTTTGAGTCTCAAGAGCAGAAATGCATGCTTTGGGTGCACTAAATCGGAATTACCATAAGTACAAGGATACACCTAAAATTGTACTTTGAAAAGTACCAAAAATTAAGTCGGCCCAGACAGAGCGGCGACAGGGAGCTGACCCCCGTGACCCCTACGTGATAAGGCGCCCGGCGGGGAATGCCCCGTGGCAACTAAAGTTCCACTGCTGGTGGGCCGTGAGTCAAATCTGCCGTACTAAAACTTGTCATAGAAGCCGGAAATCTGTCATCACAGAATCTCCCCGCCCCCCCTTGATAAAACTTTTTCTTTGGAAGCACTTCCGAGTGACCACTCAAACTAAACACAATAAACCCTATACCTAGCCTAAACCCTAACCCTAGACATTTGATATTTCATAGTGTTCGCCCGTTATGGAATTCCCCCCAGTTCTTCTATGAACAGAAACCTTCCTAATGTGGAAATGGAGAGAGAAAAATTGCTTCCTTTTGGACGGTTTTACCACTGTCTAAAATGGAAATTGTTTTTCCCGTTCATCTTTGATTAGAAACAAAACTATCAAGTTTGGTTCCACTGGCTCTCTAACCTTTATGCCATGCCACAAGGTGAGATAGCAGAGTTGGGAGGATATAATTTGAAAGGGGGGGGGGGGTAGAATATGTTACTCCATTGAGGATCCTTTTGAGCCCTGAGGAGTGCAGATGATCAGGGTGATGTTGATGTGAAATCTCATCTGTGCCCGTGAAAGTGCTCGAGTTGAGCTCCAGCCTGGAAACTTTCATGGGAGGCCGGAGATGTGAAATTAATTTGACCAGTTGAGTAATGCCTGCCCCCCCTGAATCGTACGGCCAGCCTCGAAAAAAGTTCCTCAAAACTTTGTGTTACATGCGTGGGAGGGGCTAAGGGTGGAAACAAAGGAGGTATAATATACAATCATTTCTGGTTTTAATTCATCAAGCAGTAGTCGTATATATATATATGTGAGGCAGCGTGGTGGAATCAGGGTCTTGTCAATTTTTGGGCGTATTGAGTTATTGGTATTATTTTAAAGCTTGTTCATTTGTCTTGCTTTCAATAAAAAAATTACCCATCCATCTTCAATAGAAGTGGAGATATTTTGGATTGAAGGAGTTACGGGTCACCTGATTTAAGAGGTAAAATTAGCGAGAAAATGGCCGCCAAAGCTTGGTAAATTCCAAAGAGTTTATATTAGATCATAGGTATTTTATTTCTTTGTTTGGTAAGATAGGAAATGCTTACAGTAGTAAATTATATTTATGAAGACAAAGTTTATAAATAATTCTGATTGTCCATGAAACTTGTAAATTTATGTTTTTATGCCTTTAATCTATGTTTATGGTTAAATCCTCAAAGGAATGTGTTTGTAAATAGACATAAAAGGTGTTGAGCCAAAAAACAAAAAATTGATAAAAATTGATAAGCAGGGAGAAAATTGCTGTTTTCTTCGATTTCATGATTTTGACGAGAGCCTGATTCCACCACGCTGCCTCACATATATATATATAGAGAGAGGTGCAAGCACTGGTGGCAATGGATAAGTTGGACTGAAACATATATATGCCATTATCTTAGAGGCTAAGATAGCACTTCATTCAGAGATATGAGGTTTCGACTACTGGTTGTCAACCAGACAAGGACCCTTGGTCTCACCAGCTAGGCCTCTGGACCCCTCCCCCCTGTGTTCCCCTTTCTAAGATGGAAAATGTCAAAGACATAATTTTTGTGTGGGTCCCTTGCGATTCTGTCTTCTATATAAGACATGATGTTCGACTGTACATCTAACCAGGCAGTACTAGAGGCCTTTAAAAAAAGAGAGTTGGCCATTTTTTCTGGCTTTATCTGGTTATTATTTTTTTGCTCTCAATTAATTTGGATTTATTAATTTTGTTACATATCTTTAATGTAGGGTACCTGATTCTCTTCACTCTCTTCTTTTGGCTGGTCAATTTTTCTTCTTCCAATGGCAAAATTGTCGCTCCGTTGGTCTGTCTTTCTTGAAGCATTAATTTTACTACTAGTTCCAATCCCAAAATTTAGTCTCTCAGTTTAATGGTTGGATTCTGAGATGAGATGTAATGTAAGGGGAAAAAAATATGGCAATCTGTAAAAGTCTTTTTCTTTTCATTTGTTTAAGTAGGTTTTTGTAGGTGGTTATATCAGGGAGAGGGAGCTACTTTCTTTCAGTTGCTTGTTACAAACGGAAACAATTTTTTTAAAACCCTGAAAACACCCTGAAAACAATGTATGTTTTTTTTTACCTAGTAATGATTTCAACACTTTTTCAGAAAACCATCTGTTGTCGCTATGGCCGCAGTTATCAATGATGAGGTTGTGGCACACACAGAGGGTAAGTATATGTAAGTAGGCGTATGGCTGGAAACAGATGAGGGATGTTATAATCTCTATTGAACACTTTGATGTATGCCTTCATTTTTGGAAACTAGGAGGGCAAAAACAAATAGGCTGCAGAATTTATATTACATCTTAGGTATTTTATTTCTTTGTTTGGTAAGATAGGAAAGGCTTACAGTAGTAAATTGTATTTATGATGACAAAGTTTATAAATAATTCTGATTGTTCTCTGTGTTTGTTGTTTTAATGCCACTGAGTTACATTAAATTAGCATGATAAAAGCTGTCCCAATGTTCCTGGTCCATTGGTTGTGTAGCTGTGACGAGTTCATCCTAGCCTGACAATGTTTTGGCTGTAAACACAGTCTGTGCGTAGGCACCCCAGTTTCAATCTTGAATTCCCTCAGTCTGTGACGAACATAAGCTGGCTGACGAGTAAAAGTCTAGGAAATTTTCTTGCGGTTTGAGCAGTTGTCCTGAAACGATTTCTCAAGTCCATTGTCCTCATATAACGGTCTTGAAATGGCATTGTTATCCTCGGACAGCCAGTTCTGGATCGGTTTTGAATAGGCCAGGTCACAACCTACTGTTGTCTCTGTTAGTTGTCTCAGATAGTCCTTCTGCTGACGTTGATTGTCCATGCAACAGCAGGCAGAGTACTAAGCATGCTGATTGCTGGATTTTTCTGATCTTAACTTAAAGTTAATATCTCTTTTGGGTGACAGAGATCAAATGTTGATGCGGTTTTAAGTAAACACAGACCTAAACTTGATAAAAATCAAATAATAGAAAAAATCTGCCTTGTGGTCGGGAAAAAAAAATCAAAATTATTTTATTTTTCACATTGATGCTGAGAACAACACTAATTGTAGCATTTTTATAACATTCCGTTCTTTTCAGAGCACTAAGTACTACCCACGTGAAAGATAAAGCATAAAGACTAAAAAAAACTAGATTTTATACACATTAAAAAAGTGGTAATACTTTCTTTTGATCACCAGTATAGATCAAATGTTTTATCTCATGATATACCCTTGAGTCAATTTTAGTCTCACTTTTGAGAGCTATGGTATTTTAACAGATTTCATCCAAATTTCTCTTGCTTTGGCCATCAAAATATTCTAAATCACTTAATTCGTACCGTGACTTAGACATGTTTGCCCATACCTGCACTGGAGCATATACAATAAATTCATCATTTTAATAGGGGAAGTCAAATTTTAAAGTCAGTACATACTCAAACTCACTTTGAGATGCTCTCGTCAGTCACAGAGAGTTGTACATGATCCCAAGATCATCCATGCACTCTTTTCTTCAGGTGCTGACGAAGCAAAAGGAGATGCTGCTCAAGACAATGAAGCTGAACATGTTCTCTTGGAAGGAAAAGTCTCTATGTCTAAGAAAGATTATGTACTGCAACTCACGACCTCTTCACTTTCCTTAAAGGCTGATGTAGATCCTGGATCATCTAATAAGGGATCCAAAAGTAAAGGTAAATGTGTGTTAATATAAATTGTCTTTGAAGAGCTTGCAGTGACTGAAATATCCCAATTGTTTTGGTTTTGAAATAAAATTAAGTTATTTTTCTCGCGAGATTTTATTTCTGGAGTAATTTAGTTCCCGATTTGATGAGCATTTGCTTTCTTGTATTAATACTGTACATTTCTTGTGAAGTGGCATAGACGATATGTGTGTGGCTCTGAGAAAACCCATTGGATGGTGAAAGTCAAAATTGACTTTTTTTTAGCAGATTTCAAGCTAAGTTAGCTAAATTTATTCTGTTTCATAATTAGACAGGTGATTTTTTTTTCTGAAATGACTTCTGTACACCTTCATCCATACCGTAGAAACATTCTTTAAGTGGTTTGAAGTGGCAGTCAGGTCTTTTACATACCTGAAAACAACATCACAACGCTGTTAAAACATCATTTTCCACATAAAAAAAGGCACACTCCAACTGGCTTGAGTTGTCATTGGCTTGCAATACACAACACACCTTTCTTTGTTCTTGACACTATTATTATGTGGGATTCCCATACATGATAACTTAAAACTTGAATAGACATGATTTCATTGGCAAGAGAACAATGAAGATGAGATCTTTCTTTCAAATCTGTTGAAGCAAAGATATGAATGATTGATATAAAACACAGGTTTTCAAGGGTGTACCATGTGTGCTCAAAGTCAAAGCAGCAATTATTAAAACGCTGGGAAAGGGTTGAATGGGCTTTTGAAAAGATGTTATTACCTGTTCCCATCTAGAGATCTTCAAGAAAGGTCAATTATATTCTTCCTTTGATGTAAAGATTATGTATTAAAGATATAGTAATAATTCCTTTTTTTTTTTCAGACCTTACCTTGCCGTGGACAGAGATTCTCCGAGCTGAACCAGATCAAAAATCGCCTGCGGAAACTCGCCACCACTCTCTGTGTTTGCACTACATACATCACCACTCTGAAAAGACACTGAGGGTCAAGGTTGCCAACATTGTCAGTAAAGATTATCACGCGGAAGAATGGATCAACGTAATTCAAAAACAATGTGAAAAAGGTGAGTACCCTCCAAAGTGGAAAATTTTGCTGCTCAAGAATTATGCGATTGTCTGACATGAATTTCAAATGATGGAGACTACCATTGTAATTGATCCAGCCATTTTCAGGCTTTGGCCCTTTCATCCCAATGCCATGAAGAATAAGTGATGGTTAAAGGTTAGTTTCAATTACTGTGTAGTTCCACATTGCCTGTTCTTTTTGTCTGGTCTCAGAAAGAGAGTGGTATATTTGATGTATGTTGATTGTTGGAATGTGTCCCGCACAGCGTGTGCTACAACGCAAGACAGGGTGAAGTGGAGGTCCATGATCGCCCATGCCAGTCGGCAAGGCACCGGATGATGATGATATGTAAGAGCCCACTAGTAACCATAAATATCATTCAATTGCTCTGAAATTTGGCACAAAGTACAACCTGAGATGGAACTTTAGACACTCCAAATTTGAAGTGTGTAGGTTTAGTATTTTTTCTTTGGGGTGTTGTACAAATTTGGCATTTTTGGGGCTTTTTTTTATTTTTTTTTAGCATGGCAGAATGAGCAAGAACAAGCCTATTGATATTCAAATATGCTTGTGAGTGCCTAGATCTATATATTGTATGTCATGTATAATAAAGGCTGTTGAATACTTTCATGAATTAAAAAAATGTATGTTTGAGAAAGGCAAAGAGAATTGATTGCGACACATGTTCAGCTGATCAGTGTGAACAAATGTGCTGAAAATGCCTTTTTAAAAACCGCAATTTCTTTGTGTGCAATGACAGTAGAAACAAAGTTCCAGCTCTCCTGTAGGCAGAATTTTCTGGGGAAATAATAAATTGACCTTGTATAAAGCTTGAGGCCGTTTTCCGAAACGAAATAACTAGTGTACGCAATAAAAATATAGAACCGAGTTATCTCGGTCGTGGGATTGAACGTAGCCCGCAAGCTGACCGAGATATCTCGGTCGTGGGATTGAGTGAGTTAAAAGAAAAAATGAGATAACACATACCTACAGACTGCTGTCTGGTACATTTTGATACATCAGCGTAGTTGACATGTCAGTACTTTTGTCATAAAGAAACGGTAAACTAATTATTTTAGCTCTTCCGGGAATGACAATGTTTTTGTCCCCTTCTGCAAACATTTGCACCACTGGATGAACTGAAATTGGCTTTTTCATTTTGTTATTTATTTTGAAGAAGTGCCCTTAAGCTGCTCCTGTCCGTCATGATTTTGTTATGTTGTTACTTCTTCCTTTCACAGTGCCTGGTAGACCGAAGAAAGTTTTTATATTAGTAAATCCTATAGGAGGATCCAAGAGAGGAAGGCAAACGTGCCATAAGGTTGTGGGACCTCTCTTTGAATTAGCTCATGTGCACACCACAGTCGAAGGTTTGTACAGCGATAGTCAATAAGTATAGTTTCTGTGATTTTCATTAATACATATACATATATTTCATCCCTAGCTGTATATATGTGGTTTCAAGATCCTGTTGTACTGTTTTCTTCTTTTATTTATTTTTTTCAAGTTTTTTTTTTTTACTCTTACTGTGTTCCTTGAAAAATAAGGTGATTATTGTCTTGCAAAATATGACTTGACGCCCATCTGTTTGTGTTTTTTTTAGACTTCATTCTTTTCTGTTCTGAGACTGATTCGTGTTGTGAAATATGGTTTGTTATTGTTTACTGTTTTCACCACTAGGGATTAGAAAGAAAAAAACCCCAGTGCAAATTAATCACGATAAAGATGTTTTTTAAACGATTGAATTGGATGGCATGTGTTTATATATATATATATATATATATATATAATATGTAAGACAATGTGGTGAAATCAAGCACTTGTCTAAATAATGAAATCGAAAGAAACCGGCATTTTTCCGCTGGTTTGCACTATTTGTAGATATTTTGTTTTTTGGTTCAATACATTTTATGTCCATTTCTATGAAAAACGTTGATTAAAGGCACCAAAAATTTGATTTTTTCAGTTTCCAAAGACTCTCAAGTTATGGAAGTCATCAAACTTTAGCTGTCATTTTCTCCATAATTTTAACTCTGAAACCAAGTGATGCCCACCTACTTCAGTCGCAAATATATCGACTTCTATTCCAGACAAATGGTTATTATTTTCATGGAAAGCGAAGCAAATAAATAAGCTTTAAGATATGCCTAAAAATTAACGAGTGCCTGATTCCACTGCGTTGTGATGTATATAGTCTTTTTGCACTGCATGTGTGTGTGTGTGTGTACCCTGTTTTTTTTTCTATTCTGTTCATCGTGTGAAGTTATTCCCCGTAGTTGCTGTGTTCACAGTTTAGCCAGAAAGGTGATGTGTTATTGAATGGAGGAAATTGTGTTTCATTCAATTTGCAGTGACGGAAAGATCCAAGCATGCTTTAGAAATTGCAGAAAATCATGATTTTTCTCAGTATGATGGGTGAGTAGAATTATGTTCAGAAATGTTCAAAACTGTTATACTATGTACACTGTTTAACATTTTTTGTGTGCTATCTTTGGTTTCTTGGATGTTTATATCTCACCTTTTCACTTCATTTAACTGATTCCGTCCATGATTTTTTCAGGCTCTGGACAGAGTTATTTTTCCCTGCTCAGTTTTAGACCTGGGGTGCATCTATTTAATGCATTACTGTAAAGCTCTTAAGTCACTCTAATAGGTATTGTCATAGGTATGGGAATAAATAGAAAAATCTGTGTATATCAATAACACTGACCTATAACCTGTTTGTATTACATTTTCCTTCCGACAAAAATGAATGAGAAAAAAAAATTGCGCAGCAGCTCTTCGAAAATTTCGACTTACTGCATTTTTTCAGCTCTACAAGTCCTTATAATCCATAGGAATCAACACAACGTTGTAGCGATATCACCCTAGCACACATTTATGCAAGAATTTCACAAATTTAGTTGAATATCTTTCTTTGAACAGCCTTTTTTTTATACCAGGCTCCGTGTTGTTTACCCTTAGATCTAGCCTACATCGCAACAACAAAACAACGATTTATGCAAGAATTTCGCGGAGTTTCGATCGATATTGGCGCTCAGAGATTTAGGTCAGGTTTGTTTACAAGTTCTACTTCCTTTCGACAACTTAAAAAGTAGGAACTATGTTAAAAAGTGCACCTTTGTTTCGGATTTCGTTGAGCCGCTCACAGTGGCCGAATGGAGGCAGGGGAAAAACTCAGAGCCGCTGTCAGCGACGGCCGAATGGACGGAATCAGTTAAGGGGAAAGTGTACAAAGTAAAGCTCTTTCTGCGAATTGGATTTAAAGAATTTTTTTTCGTCATATGCTCCTAACATCTTGTTATTTTAGAAATGTGCTGGTCATGTAAATAACCTAGTCAAGAACAGTTATAATTATTGTGTTGATAGTAGACAATACCTGTGGATAACCCAGTCCTTGTTTCAAATGCTTAATGATGCGACACACATTCCACAAAACTTTGGATTCCGGGATACTATTTTTTTTATATCCCACACCTATATATCCACTTTTTATTAAATTTGTGTTTGTTGTGAGTCAATTTCCTGTATTTAGAAACTTTTAGTCATATTTGATCACTGTGGTAACGTATAATCATATAATAGCTGGATGACACGGAGGACACGAACACGGAAAACTGGAAATCATGGATTGCCTTAACGATTTGCAATTCCCAATTGAATGTTATCAGTATAGAGCACTGGTGATGAAACTGTAAAGCGCTTAGAGCCTGTGTACTTTAATCTGGGTTGAGTGCTATATAAATGCCACACATTATTATAATTAGCCCTCTCCGTATGCCCTGGGGTCATTTGTACCCCTGGGTTGTATTCTTCACATTTTAGAATACTTCTAGTATGAAGATGTCTTTGAAACTTTTAGTATTTCTCAAAAAATCATTTTGACAGACTGCTATGCAAATCGTACAGATCGGATTAACGAGTTAATTTCTCTTTGGAAGGGTGGCTCAGAGTTCCCCACGTCATATGGATACGATAGTAAACCACGACGTACGGATAGGGTTAAAGCATATTTTGTTGTTGTTGGTAAATTGATGTGTTTTTATTGACAGGATTGTTGTTGTTGGGGGTGATGGACTGTACCAGGAAGTGCTCCAAGGACTCATCAAGCAGACACAGAAAAGAACTGGAGTGAATCTCGATGACCCAGATGCTCAGTTGCAGCCTCCTGATATCCCGATTGGAATAGTTCCAGCTGGTGCGTTTATGACGCTCGTACATACATACAGTCACACCTGCTCTAACCACCCCTGTTCAAGACAATCACCTATGCTAATAATCACTTTCCACATCCCTGCTTGCATTTAAAAAGAATATATATGTAAGCTTAGTTTCAAGTACGAAAATAATTTCTGAACACCTTCCTTTTTAATTCTTTAACCAAGCAATTTAAAATCACCTTTCTGCGTAATTCTCTCGTGTTTGTGGAAATGCGACCTGACATATTATGTATCTAAAACCGCTTGTTTTGCATCAAACTGATCAATAAGGCATTACCCAGACGTAGAATTCATTTATATTTGACTTCCGGGTCAAACTAAAGGCTTGTTAGCTCGTACTTTTTTATATTCGGCCAGTACCATAATACAATAATAACTTCGCTTTGGACGGTGGTACCGTCCAGCCATGGTTAAAGAGTTGAATTTTAAAGGTAGCTTCAGTATTTTGTGAGATCTGGTTAATGCTGTCAGATAGGGTGCAGAGACAAAGTTTTGATATAAAAGGCTTTAAAGTTTTCCTAAGATCTGGATCAAATTCTACTCCAAATGAATATCAGTCAATTGGCCAGCCTTGTTATTAAGTCTCTGAAACCCTTTACTACACTGTGACTACTCAAAATGCAACTTTAAAAAGCAATTTAAGACTACTAAACAGTTTAGAAGTGTAATTATAACATTTTTAAAGCAAATTCACCATCAAATAGAACTGAAAATTTCGCCAAATGACTTTGCTTAGCTTACGAAGTGTTGTCGCGTATGTCAATGCGCAGAGCCTCCTTCCCTTTACTGTGTCAGTGTATTAGTGTGCATCACACACCATGAGAAAGGACACAAGCTGACCTAAATTTTGATATGCGATGTGAAGGGGTTGGTTTTTATGAATGAATAGTGGATGTCAATGAAAATTCTAGAAATTTTGAAGTGAGGCTTTATGGCCTTGCTTTACTGGCGAAGTGGAGCAGGGTAAAAATGCCACAAAACCTCCTATTCTTTACTGTTTTGTTACACTCATGCACAGTTCACAGACAGAGAGTCGCCGTGTCAGCGGGATTTTAAACGTGTTTATTTGCTAAACTAGTGGTCTAAGGTGGACACCCCCTATATCATTGGAAAGCTCATCCAAAGCCCTATAATTTGGTTGATTTCCACTATTTGCTTTCGAATTAGGATAGCTTTGCATGGCATTTGTTTTAAACCTTTTGTTTCGCACGAAATGTCGCAGTTTCTATCCAAAATTGCGAGCTCCAGGCCACATTGTTTGATGCGGACTGAAGAAGCTTTGGGGTTGTTTATAGATAATGGCAGTGATGAGGAGTCCGATTTAAAGTTAGAAGAAGAAAGTTCAGACGATAGTGAGGATGAATCTGTACCATTGGTTGGTAGATCTACCGACCCCAAGTCTCATCTTGTCAAAATATTTTTTTCTATTGAGGGCAACTATAGTGATCTTGTAGACTTGATCAAGGTAAGACTGGGTATTGTGAATGTATGATTGATTGGTATTGAAGAAAAATAGAGAAATTGTACTTTTTAGTGGTGTAAGTGTGATTTTTGTACTGTTGATAGGAAAAAAATGGTGACTTGGTAAAAAAAAGGCAAGGAAGGTGCGTCACAGGGTATCGAGAAAGGGAAAGTGGGTGCGTCTTAATGAAACTTAATTTTTGTAATTTAAAAAAGCTGTTTTTGACCTTTATTGCCCTGTGACTGTTCGAACAAATGCGTCTTCCGGTACCTTTTTCCAGGCACACACTTATACTGAGATTGCCCAAGTCATCCATTGTCTAACACAACTGTTTTTTCCTTGACAATGGGTGGTTGTATTGGACAATTTTGACAGTAATTTTGGGGTATCTCTTTGAAAGTTGTCTGGAAGTATAGGATACTGGTGGTTCTCTGTCTGCCTGCTTTTTATCAGCTTTTATTGGTCTTTATTGTGTCAAAGTGCTGTTGGAAGTATTGGATGGTGCAAGAATATTTTGGGCTTGTATGGAATCTAGACTGTAGAGTAGAATTTTTTTTAAATGAATACCAATATATTCAAAACTGAAAACAGTCAGTTAGTCATGGGTTTGGTTTTTTTCCTACTTACATTTAGAAAAGGTAAGTTTGCTAACATTGGACTATTTCTTTCATTTCTCACTCTCTTTGCAATTACCGTGTTGTGTATGTATGATTTTATGCACATATGGACTAAAATGATGAATGAGAGGTGTGAAAGACCTATTAGAAAATAAAAGCGAGTTTTTCTCAAACACTAACTGCACAAATTGTGTGAATGTGAATGGTGCTTGGTCCTATTATTTGGAACACAAGTTATTGATTCTTAGACGTAAAGGCTAACACCCCCCCCCCTCCCAATTCTGCCATTAATATATATTATATGTTTTTTACAAGTGATACCAACTTTTGAGGTGTTGATCTTCTCCTTGGATGCAAGCAGCAAATGATGTGAGTTTGATTTTCTCATTAGGAAGATATTTTGCCAAAAATTCTCTTGACTTTTTGTCAGAGAGAAGTGTCCCACACATCTAGGGTTGACATTTACACACAAAGTCAGAGCAGCCTATTAAGCGATAAATAATCTTTATAATGTCTACAGATGAGTAAAAATAACATTTTCAATCCTTTACGGTCAGTTGTTTATGCAATTAATCTTTTGTTCTTCTCAGGTACAGGCAACGGTGTCAGTGGATGGTGCAACGGAACGATAGATGTCGAAACCTCTGTTCTTAATATTATTAGAGGTAAGGTAAAGCTGGTTATTAGTGACATTGTGTTTTATTCAGACACTTCAGGCTCATGCCTGTATTTCACAATACAAGCAAATATTGTGATTAACTCTTTCCGGACGTATCGTCCATATATCGGCTGTGATAGGGTGCCGCAGTATTGTTTCGTTTTAACATGATCCGTCATTTATAATTACTTTTTATTGCTATTGAAAAACTCAGAATGGATTTAGGAAATGGAAATATCTAGTTTCACTTTGTGAAAGTGTGGGTTTGGGGAAAAACGAGTGAATTAGTTCTTGCGGTCTTGCATCAACAAAACGATGTAACCAGATACAGTATAAATATCATAACTCAAATAAAATTTGAAATATTGCTTTCAAATAAAAAGCTGCGCTTTCAGAAATTTATGGATTATGCTCTTGGTCTGTATATGATAAGATAGCTATGCTGATTTGCTTTCACATGTTTGGTGATTTCCGTCAAAATTTATTTTTCTCATCTCCATCGCCATTTCTAACCCTTGCAATGCACACTTATGTGAAAAAATAATCCTTGCTTTATAGGAATGTATTCCTCGTTCAATTTCCTTCAATTTGATATATCATATGTTACGTTTTGAATGATGGTTATGCTTCTATGAAGTTATTTTGTACACCACTTGCATAGCCAAATCGAGCCACAAGTTAATTATGTCTTGACCACCCAAAAAACTGTCCAGAACGAGTTAAATAAATAAAATTAACTCATGGCTCTCGATAAAGGAGGGCATCTGGAAGTGGCATTTTACAATCACATCGATTTGAATACTGTTATTTCACTTTTTTGCAGGAAAAGATGGTTGCCTATCAGAGTTGTCTATTATGTCTCTAAATTGCCTCCAGGGGTATCATCAAACAAAAAGTTCTGCGCAAAGGGGGTTAATTAGAAAATAATCATAGACCTACTTGCAAATATTGAAACAGTCTGAAACAATAATAATAATAATACATGTGAGGAAGTGTGGTTAAATCAGGCGCTCGTCAAAATAACGAAAGGGGAGAAACAGGCAATTTTCCGCCCGTTTAGAAATTTGTTTTCGAGTTTTTATTTTTTGGCTTAACCTCTTTTATGTCCATATAAAAGCACATTCCATGTGAATTTTTACTGAAAGACATTGATTAAAAGCACAAAATATGTCATTTTTTCAGTTTTCAAAGACTCTTTAGCTATTGAAGTTACCAAATTTTGGCGGGCATTTTCTCACTAATTTCACCACTGAAACCAGGTGACCTCACTTCCTTCAATCGCAAATATCTTGAGGTTTTTTTTTAGATAAATGGATACCTATTTCATTAGAAGCAAGGCTAATAAATTCGCTTTCATGTGATACCAATAACTCCACTTGTCCAAAAATTGAAGAGTGGTTCCACCCCATCGCGACACATATGACATTTTTTATAGCACTTGATCCTGACTAAATAGACAAAGGAGGTCATGCCTAGAAGAGAAAAGAGAAAGACGAACCAAGAGTTGAAGATATATGAATTCAATTTGCAGTGCAGCACTGGACACAGTGCTGTTAAAGGAAGTGTTGTTTAGTTAGATTTTAAAAAATCTTTTTTCGCTCTGTAAAGTACAAATTTAAGGCTATTTTAGGAACATCTGTTTTACCAAATATCTAATGACAAGTGTTTTGCTTTTTCAGGTGAACGTCACAAAGCAATGATGTACACGATCTACAGTGGTAGCAAATTTCTTTGCGTGTGTGGTCTTGTCTTTGGATATGGTATGTTTGGAGATATGATTCAACGGACTGATGAGCTTCGTTGGATGGGAAGAGCAAGATATGCATGTAAGTAAAAGAAAAAGTTTGTTGACTGTGAGTATCTTTTAGTCTGCTGCCATAATGATGACAAATTCAAGTTCACATGTAGCAAAACCCCCCCAATAAAATTTAAAAATTGGTCCCCTTTGCAAGAGGAAGTGAATAACATGGTATTTGTTAAGAAAAACTGTCCTCGTTTTATATCCATTAAGAATGTTACTGAAGACAATTTTCTAACAGAATATTGTGCTGTTTGTCAGCCAACACATTTACACACTGAAGAATTTTTTATTTATTTTGTCAACTGAAAGACTTCTGAAAGTAATGTCTGTCTCCAATAAGACTGAGACAAATAAACACAGGGATCAAACCATGGTCATCAGCACTTTTCTATTGTTTCAAGAAAGAACATCTTTCTGAAAGGTGAAAAAAGTGGTCTCTTTGACTATGGAGGTGGTTCACTAGTCCACTCACAGCTCTTTTTTTTATCTTTGTGTTGACAATAGACAAATATGATTTTTAAAAAGCAAAATATTTGTTCAAATCTAATTTCATTTTGCTAGATTTACAGCACCAAAAATTTTGATATGAGTCACAGAATGAAAGAAATGACTTTTTGATCCTAAGAAACATTTTTGTCATTTTTACTTAATTTTCTTTTGCACCATGTTGATGACAATTATCAAACCGACAATATGAACCCAACCAACAAGAGTTTTCTTTTCTAAGTTAGAAACGTTGTACATTGTTCAAGTTAATGAAAATTTTCTAGACGCAAAAAAAGTTTGCAATTCAGCTGAGATGTCTGAGCCATTTCTTTCAATTTTGTCCCAAAGAATAGTTTATTAACCACTTAATTGGTGAGAACTTAAGAACTTCCATATTTTGCTCCCAGCAATCTTTAAGGATGCCATGCTGTCAACAAAAACATGTTTTTACTTATTATTCTTTACCAATTACATTTGATTGTTTTCAAGCAATTATTTGGCAGATATTCTAATTTCCTTTTGTATTTTTCTCTTGTGTACGTAGATTGTCTGTTTGGCTCTGTCGTGAAAAAGAAGAGGAGATTCAATTGTGAAATTGAAGTGCTTCAGGCAGAAGGAGGTTCCTCCAAGTAAGTTAAATGTCATTTTCCTTCGGACATTAGTGTGTTGATTCTCCCTTTTGACGCTTTCTTGTTGGAAGTGTCATGAAATTAGGGGAAGAAATGTGTTCTGTTAAAGATAAGAAAGGATATTGCTGTTGTTGTGGCATTGTGGACTGGGGTGTACGTGGAATGCCTGCCCACCCTGAGAAGAGGCCATTCATGTTGAGGATAGGAGGGTACAAGGGGTTTTCTTGAGACTGGAAAGACCTAACTGCCCTGTGACCGTGTAATTCCGGAAGGGTTCACTTTGCCCATTCCCCACCACCAATGGCTACTGGCTAAAGTTTTCTACTCTTTCATGAGGTATCTGCCAAGTGGGAAAGCCATTGGATCGTCACTTCCTGGGTCGTTGTGCCTTTACTAAGAGGTCCACGGCCAGAAGGCAAGTCGGGCATTCCGCTCGATCCATCCCCTGCACCAAGACACTCTCAAACTGGCTGGTACCTTCTCAGCCACAGACGGTGTGTTGATAAAAAGCAGCAGAGGTGTTTGGCAGATTAGACACACTCAAGGGAGATTAGGTGTGTGTTAGTAAGGAGCATAGCGTCTACCACACATGGGTGGGTTCTGCCTCCTGCACCTTGTGGGGCCACACCTGCTCCCATCCTGTTGTTTTAACCCCTCTAGGAAATGGGGGGGGGGGGGTTGGTTTGTTGGCGCCAACAACTCGCCATTCGCCAGAGCCGTGTCAGTGAGGACAGGGACCACCATGGGCAGGTACGGTTGGCTGGTTTGGGAGAAGCTGTTTGAGATGCTTAGGCATTTCTCAATATTTAAATGAGACTCATCACCAGTCCTTGATCCCCGAATATTGCTGTGCACTTGTTGACCCTGGTCCACTGTGTAATTGCAGTTTACCTGACACTGATTTATGGCCTAATGCAAGATGTAGACTAAAAGATCGCTGAAACGGAATATTAGATGCCGTGTACAGGATTTCGGGGCATGCATCAGGACAAATCCCCACAAGCTAAATGGTTAATATTTCTACTGACTAGAGTGGCTGCACTTTTTGGGTGCGGGTGTTGGAGGGCTCCACTGGTAGGTTCTACTTCATTCCTTTCTCTCTGTTGTTTCTGTTTGTCTCTATTACTTTTTCCCAGCACTAAATGACCATTATTGTGTCCATGTGCTTCCTTTATTCAAACTGAAACTCAATTTTTAGGAAGGAATTAATTTTGAATCTTACCCAGATAGTGGCCGAAAGGGACTAGTCTTTTTAAATTTAGAATCGCCGACAGATTTTCAATGTGCAAAACTTCCTCAGGGGACCCTAGAAATTTGTCTTCCTTACCTTAGAATAATAGGTGTTCAATTCTAACCACCCTAGAATTAGGGGGTATAGAAAACATTAATTTTTTTCTAAAACCCATCCTGGCAGGGATTGAACTTCAGACCTATGGGTTGACAGGCAAATACCATACCTGTTGGGCTGCTGATTCCCCCAGATTGTCTTTTATTCTATCTCTTTCAAATTCACTAGTAAATGTGATGATTTGATTTTCCCTGGAAAATGTTTATAATTCTAATGTGCTTTTGGATAGAAGTAAATTAGTACTTGTTGTACACAGCAGATTGAAATGCAGATTGTGATTGTTTTTACAAAAATGTGCATTTGCTGAAAGAAGTTTTTACATTTTAAATTTTTCTTTGGCCTTTTTTATTTTTTCAGAGACTCAGATGGAAAAAATGCCTCTCAAAAAGAAGGTTAGCTTGTGTGGTTTGTAGAAAATATTGTGGAAAGTAAGAGAGATAGTGACAGGTTTGTTTTTTTCCTCAACTATTCTCTTTGCCTGTTCAAAGTTGGAGATAATACAGTTGAACCTGTCCATAAAGGTCAGGAAAGATCATAGAGAAAAGTGATCAATAAGGTGGTGGCTATGGACAGGGTCTGAGTTATTATAACCTGTTGTGTTTTTCTTTTTTTTTTTCCTTAAAAAAAATTATTCTTTAATAGTAATAGTATCAGGACCTTTGTCGAATGTTGTTTCTTAAACTCAGGATCTTAGTGAAGATTTTCCTGTATGTATTTGTGGTAAAAAAAATTCGTTTTGTAAGAGAAACAGACTCTGGAATGATAGGCAGAGAGTTGAGAGAGCTGAGACAAAGAACACTGTAGTATTTTCATGTTCATCAAGCCATATATATAAATATTTCTTTTTTTTAACCAGAACTAAAGTGGACCAAATATGACGGTACAAACAAAGAATTCTGTGGACTTTCCTTCTTCGTCGTGGACAAAATAGACCTAGGGGACCGCTACGTGGCCAATTACTTTGGGGAGCAAAGCATGCTGTCTGTGGACACTGGAGCCAGCAATGTTGGTATGCTCCGGACTGTTTTTGCTGTGCACAGTGGGAAGAAAAATTTTGTGAGTATCTCGGAGATACATTATGAATCTTAATATTACCAATTTATTTAATTTTTTTTGTACATGTAGGTCTATTATGAGTGTCATGACCTCATGTGAAGAGAAAGTAAATGTCTCACTGCAGACAGAATTTTGATGATAAACTGTGACCCTCTTATGGGGCAAAAAACTTATAGTTTAAATCTTGCTCTCACGATCTGAAGACGTTTTCAATCGTACATGACCTTTAAGGTTATTGAGATGTGGGTACCTTGTCTGTGTATTAATTAATGAGTTGTTGGCTCTTTGCTTTTCTTGTCAAAGGTGTGAGTGGGACCCCCACTCCGTGAAGTTTATCTACAGAGCAACTCTGCTTTCTGCTGAGATGCCACATCCCGCTCGGCTATACTTGCAGAGTCAGGGCGGTCAGACTAGTAAATTATCTAGATTGTGTCGAAAGAGGGTGTGAAACCTTTATATGATAATTCAAATGAATAAACCATTTTGCCCAAAACTAGAAAAAATTGACGAAGACTCACTCAAAATCTAAAAATTTAGTTGTTTAAGTGGGGGGGAAACGGGGGTCTCATTGCTGATAATTACTTTAAACAGTACCCGCTACTTGTCTCCAGAAAGTTCTTAGACAGTATTGAAAAAGGAAAAAATGTAGAGTCAGAAGTGTAGACTTGGTCCCTTTTTGGGGTGAATTAATGTGCGAGGTGGAAACTGGAGGATTGAATCTAAGTAGGGTACAAGCTACTTTCTCTCTTCTTCCAAGAATCTGTCATCTCAGCTCAACTCGAGACCAAGCGCTCTGACTTTAAACTGATGACTCTCACTGTGTGTCTCACTACGACCTCTACTGTATAATGTCCTAGTGAAATCATTGTGAATATTTTACAAAGAGAAAATTTTTAAAAATATTTTCTGTTGATATGAGAAAGAAATCAATGAATAATTTACAAGAAAAAGACACATACTTTTATTGTTTGGTTGTGGCAGGAAAAACCATTCAGGAGGATTTTATTTTAGACCGAATTGTTGGGATTATTTTATTAAGTATTTCACTAAACATAATACTGATAAGTAATAGTTTGTCTGTCAATGTTTGACAATAACTGATACATAACTTGTGTGTTGCATTACAATATCAGGAAAAGCTAAGTCATATTTTGTCTTGGGGACCTGTGTCTGTGGTGTAGCATACAAGTGGTTTGCTGTCACACGCAGGAGATCCGAGTGCAATTCACAAGTGGGAAATAAATTTTTATTAGGTATCTCTGTCTTTTTGCTGGGGTGTATCCCTCTCAGCTTGGGTTGGCCCTGACAGGCAGGGTCGTAAGCCCACCTCTTAAGATTTAAATGATGTAAATTGTGTCATTTGGGGTGTAAAAAATCTACATTAAAAAAAAGACAAAGATAAATAACGAATTTTATTTTGGGAAGTGAAATAGTTGGGAGAATATTTTGGAAAGAAAGATGTAGTTAGTAATAATAGCTTTCTCTTGCAAAGGACCAATCTGCATATATATATCTATTTGGTGGCCATATTGTTTTGTCTTACCATCCTGAAAATTTTTAACAGCATGTTTGATTTGAAGAGCAAAATTAACTTGGATTAAAGTAAAAAAGAATACTTTGAAGTTGCTGTTTTTTATATTTTTGCACTGAAAGATTTTTGCCCAACTCAACCTATGAAGGCAAAGTGGTCATCGATTAATAGGGCTAGGATTATCCGGTTAATTTGATGCACAGGTAATGAAAAAAATACCGGGGTAACTATCCAGGTACTCCCCCAGCCCTAGCGATTGATAGAAAAGAGAAGGTTGAAGAAGGCAGAGAGAAATATTGATTTTGTTGTTTTATTCAATCTTTCATGATTTTTACAGCCTACAGTGTCAAACCTCGATAACTTTGAGCGTGTACGAGGCTTCAAAATAAAACTTACAGGACAAAGAGAAGAGACAGGGGATGGTGCATCAAGCAGCTTGGCCAGGGAGAAGATGCTGGAACAGATTGTGGATATTGATGGAGAGGCTCTGCATTTTGATGGAAATGACCTGGAAGGAAGGTGAGCCAAAACGTTTAGTTAAACTGGGGGGGGGAGGGGGAGGGTCGGGGCTTGTTAGTCTAGACATAAGGTGCTTGCCTCTCCTGCCAAAAGGCTTAGTTTATGCAGACATAGTTTGTAGATGACAATAAATTTAAGCTCTTCCAGCCCCCCCCCCTCACCTCAAGAGTGGTTTGTTTGAGTAAAGAGAAGCTCATAGACACATTATTATGATTACTGGTAATTTAGTGTTCGGAAAAAGTAAAACAGACAGACAGAAAGATAGAAACATTAGAAGGAAAGTAAAGAAGTAAAACCAACCAGTGGTGCCCTCCAACCATACACTGCCCCCCTCCCTCCAAGAATGGAGGAAAGACTTGTTCCAGCTACTGATTCCAATAGGCCCAAGCTTTTATTACTCTGGCTCTGAAGAATATTACTGCTGTGTCATTTCTGTCCTTGATTTTATGGAGTCAGAATAATTTGGTTGAAGGAAAGCACTTCAAGTTCAAGGCAACACAGGTCCCATGGTGCAGAGGAAAAGCAGAGCACACAGACAGATAGAAAGAAATCTACAGTGAGATAATAAGGATATGTAAATGGAATATGCAAGGGGTGGCCTCGAAGTACCTACCCTATACAGTGCAGCCCCTCAACGACCTTTGATATAATGACATCCTCTATATAGCATCATGGTGCCCAGGTTCCGATTTTTTCATTATATATATCATTAGTAATATTTTTGGTTGTCTCTATAACAACAATTCTCTATACTAAAACGACATTTTTTTCTGGTCCTGACGATGTCATTATAGAGAGGCTGCACTGTATATATATAAAAGTATGATCCAAAACACTAAGAGTAATATATGAGTAAATATTCGCTTCTTTTCTTTCATCCTCAGACTGCATGCCCACTTTTTGCCAGTGTTTGGTGTGTATCCAGCCAAAGTAGCTTGCCCACCACAGTAGATCTCCGGACGATCTCAGTCTCAACAGTTAAATGTGATCACTTGTGTTGTTGCCATTGCTAGTTTGTGACACTAGCAGCGCACTTCGCATGAATGTGAGGCTTTATGTGATTTTGGTGCTGTCCATAGGCTTTATGTGTTCTTGTTACTGTCAATTTTCTAATTTTATTGTCCAAAGTAGTATTTGGCTGAGGTGGAAATGGACCAATATTTAAACTTTGATTTCTACATTTTCAACTGGTGTAGCCCTCCCAGAAATTGGTCCAATATAATTCCGTACCAATGAAAATTAGCCAAGCCAAAGTGACAGGCATAATAAGTAAACAATAATAAATTTACATTTTTAATTATCCCAGAAGGGCAATTTGGTTTACAATGGCAAACATACATGCATACATACATGCATACATACGTACGTACATACATACATACATACATACATACATACATACATACATACATACATACATACATGCATACATGCATACATGCATCATACATACATACATGCATACATGCATACATACATACATACATACATACATACATACATACATACATACGTACGTATGTACACACATACATACATACATACATACGTACGTATGTACACACATACATACATACATACGTACGTATGTACACACATACACATGTGCATGGATGCATGCACGCACGCACGCGCGCATGCATGCATGCATGCATATATACATGCATACATATATATATGGTCGCTTTTAAGCTCAAAGGGGCTATCCCAAAAAGGCTGTTTTGAGAAAATCGAAGGTAATGTTTTTGCCCCTTGTTCAGTTTCTTTGAAAGACGAGGAGAGTTTTCTCTATAACCAAACAAATATACACTCCAATAAAACCAAATTTCTCTTATAGGTAGGGCAATGCCAACTTTAGGGTGTAAGTCAAGATTTCTGGAAACCTCCGAATTCTGGGTTAGCCCATTTGTCCTTAAAAGCGACCATATAAATACATAATTATAAATACATAAATACATCCACACAATGTTACACCAATACAGAACAATTTCACAACCTTGCCATGGCTGGTCGCCACTATGCAGCGCCCTGTCTTTTTAGCCAGGGTTGTCATGTCTTGCTCAAGGACACACCCCAGTGACCACCCATCTGATCCCCATGTCACCGACACTTGCTTGACTTTACTCTTTAAGTCTAAACTCACTACTCGCTTAGCTACGAGCATGTATTTTAACATAGATTCTGAATCAAGTAAGTGTTAACAAAGCCACCGAATGTATGGAAAAGAGATGGTTCAGTGGAGTCCACTTAAAGTAAACTCTTTGGGACCAGAAGAAAGTGTTCACTGTATTTGAGGTTCAGTTTAACCATTTTGGTTTGGGTGGAGGCCTAGAAACAGTAGCTAAACGCAGTGGTGGGTCTAGGGTGGAGGCGGGGTGGGGGGACAACACAGCGGGCATGCCAAGACTTGAGCTCTTTCTTTCTGATTGAGACTGCTGTCGCCAACACGGAGCTGGGATTGTCTGCCGATGCCCGAAGCAAAGAGTTTTATTTTCACATCATGGTCACAGTGATATGGCCGATCCATTCTTCGCTCTGACTCATTTTGGGTGTTCACTTTATTCAATTTCCCCATGAAACCGGTTCATTTTATCCCTTATATTTTTATTTAAACAAAGAGCGTTTCAATCAGGACCACAGAATATCGTTCACTTTAACGGATTGTTTAAGTAAAGCGTGTTCACTTTAGGTGGACTCAATTGTACTTTATTCACTCTGCTAAACTTAACATTGTATGGATTTGACAATGTTAGTGTTTGCGTGTCCAATTCGAGGAGTTGAATGATGTACCCCCACTTTTTAAAAGTAAAACGAACCAACCTGGAAAAAATGAGAGGCATAAAAAATGCATGTGGCCACCATTAGCATTTAACCCCTTCGTTGCCCTATGACATAACTGGTACGTCATGAAAATGTGTAATTTTTAGCTTTGTGCCATATCATGGACGTCTTGGAAGTTGTCAAAATTTTCCACTCCTAGTTGCCAATATGACGTCACATGTACACATGCTAATAACCTGGCTCTAATTCTTCTGTACAGAGTTTTAGCCTCCAAAGCGCTGTGTCGGTGCGTATTTGGGAATAAAAGATGCACGCTAGGCTTGCAAGTGATCCATAAACATATATTTATGCTTGCTGACGGCTTCATGCTCTCATAAAACGTAGACACCAAAATGACTTTTAAAAGGTCCCCCCCCCCAAAAAAAAAAAAATTAAAAAATTAATAATTTTAAAAAATCACTTTTTGACTCAGATTTGCAAGTTATGCGAAATTATGAGTAAGATGGAAGGAAATCTAATAGTGAACGAGAGAAGTGAGAAAAGTGACATGATCGAAGACGTGGGGTCTGAAGTATGTCACAAGTGTGGTAGATCTAGACCTCACTTCCATTAACACTAAGACATGAGACTGTTGTTCTGGGTAACAAGCTCAGCTGAAAATCAGTGATGACAGTAGGAGCGCATACCCCTTGGCAACAAAAACAACGGGCTTTTATAGATTGAAAGAGTGTTCTTTGAGTGATATATGATGTTACTTGCTATTCCTATTCAAGAGTAAGAAAAGACTTCATCCTAGTAGTTGGGCAAAGTTTGCTTGGTCCCATTGTGTCAGCCAAGAACTTCCAATGAATTTTCTATGAGGTTGAGATCAGGTGAATAAGGCAGTCAGTCTACCTTGTCCATTCAATGATGCTGCAGGAATATGTCTGCCATAAGAACAATATCATACATTATCCTCCTAGAGGGTGGCATCAGGACTATAAGTTAAAGAATCTTGTCCCTGTAGTGAATTCCAGTAACGTAAATTTCCTGGAAATGATAGAAGGGTGCTTTTTTGTTGATACTACAGTCCATGCCGGTTTAAGCACGGTCATCGGGAGAAAGCATAAGCGCGCTTAATGCTGAAGCGTGCTTGAGTGCGAAGTAGACATTGTTCATAATCCAGAGATTTTTCAGGTGAAAATTTCGTGAGTTGGTACCCTTTGTTCGTAGCCAGCCTCCCTTTCTCGTCACCCGGACTCTCTTTGTATTTTTTTCGTGTGTGTGTAGCTTTGCCCAAGGCTAGATCCTATGTCCACGCCTGCGGCTGTGTGCATCTCTCTGCTTTCCTCTCAGCGCTTGTGTGTGTGTCCATCACTTGCGTTCTTTGTGTTTCTCTTAACACACCCACTGCTGCGGTGTAGACTGTGTTCGAACTTCGATGGGTCATCATGAAAGTATTGACTGTCTTGTAAATGAAACGTGCTCGAAGCCGAAGTTACCGTGCTTAAAGGCGTGTAATTTATAGCAAAAATTGGGTAAGAGCCGTTTAGCGTGCTTGAGTCCAAAACGTGCTTTATGCCGGTGTGCTTAAAGCCGGCATAGACTGTAGTAATATCCCACACTGTGGCAGACCCTTCCCCTCTCCCCCACTCCATTGTGGTTATGTTCCTGAACACAGCCATCCTGAGTGTGTTTGAAGAGACGTCTTCAAACACGAATCCTTCTGTCATTGAAGAACAAGGTGGATCTGGACTCGTCTGTGAACTGCACGCTTGGCCACTGTTGACGCATGTGTCCATCACAGGGGATGAGCACGCCAGGTCCGTCTGGCTTTGCCGTGAGCCTGGCTTGGGTGTAGACAGACTGCTAGTCGTCTTGGACAGTGTCCATGCTGACTTAAACAGTACGTCATGGTCCGGGCACTCACTTGGATGTTTCTATGGGTCACCAGATCCTGTGTGAGATGTGTTGCTTTTGTAGCTCTGGCTCTCTGTCGTCAGGACAATGTAGCAACCCTGTTGCCTTGTCATGCTTCTTGGCCGTTTGATGGACCACATCTGCTCTTCCCCACTTCCCGCTCCGGCAACTTGACCTCTCAGCCCATGAAGCCAGACCAGTGACCTCCCTTTATGGATGTTATGCAAACATCATCTTTGGGGGGGGGGGGGGGGGGGGCACTGATAAAGATTTCATGAAAATCAACAATAGATATTCTTAGATAGAAACCAAAAAACCAAACAATTACTCAGTAGTTTTGACAAATCACACCGTTTTCTGAAATTTGATTTTTATCATAATCACTCAAAGTTCTGCGAATAAGAATGAAAGGGTTTTATTTTTTTAAGTTACCCTTCTAAAAATAAATTGCTCTGCTATCACTCAAGATTTAAAAAAAAAGAAACTTTGACTTCTTCGAAAGATTTTCAAAGAGTGTCTAAAGATCACTCCGCTTCGAACAACTCGTTTTGGTAAACCTCAAAAACAGGGTCATCAGATACATCATAAGTTGCATTACTAGAAAATAATAATGATAGTGCTTTTTTACTTTTTTTAAAAGTAGGAGACAAACTACAAAGTTATGTAGGCGATTTGCACTGCACAATCTTTTGCCATGGAAAATGACTGGAAAATCTGTTCCTTTCCGTTGGTTTTGGTGTCTCTGGGCGCCAACCCGTACTCTGTAAAAATTCTCCTGTCACAGGAATCGAACTTTGGTCTTCTGCATGCGACGGTTGTGTATATTGATTGCATTGTAAGTCAATATTCAATATTGTGTATAATGTGGGCTCCTTACAATTTAGTACCTTCCCCCCCATTCCCCCCTCATTTTCGCTATTGATTTTGAAGCCACCATTCTTATATTATGAAAAGACACCCAATCATTATGAAGAAAATAAAAAATACTTTTTCATTTTGTTTCGTTTTTTTGGTTTTGTTTTGTTGTTTCAGTTTTTTTGTTTTTTTTCTTTCGTTTGGCTTATTTTCTTTTCTTTCTTAGCTGAATAGAGAAAGGGTGCAGGTTTTTTCACCCCAATATTCTCATCTTCATATATTGATGTACTTTCTTTCCTCATTCGGGAAGGAGAATGAGGAGTGCTGCTACCGAATGTGGTTTTGTCTTGTTTTGTTTTTTTATCTTGTTTTGTTTTTGAGAATTTTATACCCTGCAAAACTGATTGAAAGTAATGAAAGCGGACCCCATCAAATTGTGATTTCAAATGTCCTTGGTCCGCAGATCATCAACATTTTATTATGGTCAAAAGTTATCTAGGCATAAGCACATGTCTGATTGTTAACGTGTAACATCACCATCAATGAAATACAGTTCAATCTGGATTGTGTTGGATACATCACATGGGCACAAATGGTCGCTTTTAAGCACAAGGGGGCTATCCCGAAAAATGCTGTTTTGAGAAAATTTAAGACAAAGTTTTTGCCCCCCCTGCTTAGTTTCTTTGCAAGACAAGGAGAGTTTTCTCTATAACCAAACAAATATACACACCACTGAAACCAAACTGCTCTTAAAGGTAAGGCAAAACCCACTTTTGGCGTAGGTCAAGAACAAGTAAGGAGATAGGTTACTCGTTGTACTTGTACTGTTTTCTGACTTAGAGGTGAAGTCTCCTCCCTTTGGGAGTAAGACAAAGAGAGTAAATATTTCACAACAGACACTGGTGACTGTCCCAAAACACTCGATGAAGACTAAACCCGCTTGTCCGCCAAACAAGACATCGCCCGAAAGTTAGTCGTCCGTCCCTCCAGAAATCAGCAGTTGAAACAGAGCACCAGTTTTTAACTTCAGCAATCCAGGAATGAAAATTCCGTTTGGATGTGTCCACCAAAACGACACCTCCCAATAGAAAAAGTGGTCAGTTGGAATGCCCCATTCGACATTTTAGTTGCGCCATGTGGTGACTCATCAGCCTTAGGCCCTGTAGGGCTAAAAAATAATTCTAATTTTCAGTTCGCATAAACCCTTTCTCGGCCTATATGACATATATGCCATTCTTCATTATTTCTGACACTGGGAGTGAGCCAAGATGCTGTTGTGACATACGGAGTTGGTCATTTCCTTGTGAAGCGTGAGGACCAAGCTGAATTGATGAACACCGTTTGTCATTGGTTGTATTCTGCCTAGTACTTTTATTAGATGCATTTCATAAAACTGATTGCAGATTCACATTCGGGAATATTTTTTCCATACAGAGAGATATTTTCCTTTTAGATATAATATAGTTTGAAGTACTTGCAAACTGGGTCTAATTATAGGAAACTGACCTGTAAATCTTGCTCTACTCTGTGTCCCTGGTGGTCTAAAACTGTGCCCAGTGAAGCACGAATTGACCCTGTGTCACGAAGGGGTTTAAAATCATCTAATATTACACATGTATTTTGTAATCATCGCCTCGAAATTTGCAAAGTCATTGTGCAAACCACCTGGATTAAAAATGCATATTATATTAACAATCTTACTATTTTTAAAAGAGCCATTCTCATTTCTCATTCTTGTCTCGCGCCCATTGACCTCATAAATATTTATAGCCTGATAACGAGAAATGACACGTCAGAGTTACTCACACGTTAGTGGACACCCATGCTGGACACATACAAATTGAATTGCCCTCTCCTGACTAAAAATCGGGTCGTTTCTGCTTTGTTGGACATGCGGCCTTACTATTACGACATTTATAATTTTGTTCACTATCAAAACATCATTTCCCCAGGAAAGATCAAATCTTAACGTGGATCTCTGACAACTATGGAGGAGGTATCGATGTTATACTTCAGCAAGAGCGTATCTGGGCACCTGTAGGGACAAGCAACAACATCAAACAACTGCTTGTATCCAATCCAAAATCTGGTGCTTCCTGGCGACGAGGTCCAATTCATCTCTTGCACCACTTTGGAAGGGATCTGTCAACTGGACGTGACGTAGGCCTACTTTCCTTACGACTCCTGGACCTGTAGATTCAACTTGGCTGAGTTCAGTCTTCTTTGAAAAATGTACGGTAGTGCTGTTATTGTTATTGATGGATACATTGAACATGGTGAATGGACATAATATGTCGAATAAGTTCAGGCATGGCGTACATAGGACTAATTCCAACTCTGAAGTTTCCTCTCTCTTATTTCAGATGTTTTGTCTGCTCTGCCCTGATTTGAAACAATACTCACTCCTAGCTTTTGTTCCATGGGCTCTAACCTTTATGGCATGTTGTGGCGTCAGTGGCCTAGAGGTTAGGCTCTCAGACTCACAGCCATAAGGTCGTGGGTTCGAATCCCATCAGGGACCCGGCGTGTCTTTAGGAAAGACTCTTTACATTACTTTTCCTCGCTTCACCCAGGTGGGAATGGATACCCAGCTATCAACAGTGAAAGGTCTTGTCAGTTTGCTGGTGTTTGAACGCTTAATCAGCTGCTTGCACTGTATGCCCTCATTGGAAGCTGAGAATGTTTATGAGTGTTCTATGGTCTCTTGGGGTAATAATATTATAATGTAAAGCGCATAGAGCTTGCTGTCGAGCGGGGATACGCGCTCTACAAATTCTATTTGTTATCATTAGTATGTAGTTAGGTGAGGAAGGGGAAGAGGGCTGCGGCTTGGGCGTAGATGTTACCCATGGGTTACAGTAGGTACTGATGTTACTATTGTTGCCCCATCCATGTGAGCCCTGAGTGGAGTGGGTGTGGGGAAATCTCCCCATTGCTTGTGAAAATGTTCGAGAGGTGCTCCAGCACAGAAACTTTTATGGGTAGCCAGAGATTTGAAATTTGAACAATGCCTCCTGCCCTGATGTGGTCATACGGCCAGCTGAGAAAAAGAAAATCCTCGCAGCCAAAGTAATGCTTGGGGGGAAAAGTCAGTTCTCATTGGGGTAGCCATGTTGGTGGGTGAATGGCTATGGGAAGTTTGAATGAAACGAGATTCTCGATTCTCGTGCTGCAAAGAGAAATGTTAATATTCACATCGCTCTTCCCAGACGCGCGGGAACAGCGAAATCATCAGCATGGTTGAAGGAGGGGCATAATAATAAAAATTTGTCTGCAAACAAATCAATTCTGTAGTTGTGTCCCCTGTGTCCATTGGCACGAGCGTGCCATACAAAAGTGAAAAACTGATAAAATTATTAAAATGCATCATGTACAATGTAGGCTATACATGTGTACATAATATGTAGATCTCTAGATATATACAAATGTAGAAGTCTAACGTATTTTACTATGGAGTCTCAACTTCATAACGAAGATAAAAACGCCAACGAAAAAAAAAGGCGTGGCTCTTGCGTTCTAAAGCTGCAGCTATTCATGATTGAGGATTAGCCACAGAAATGGAAGTGTCTACATTCCCTAACGTTAGAGAACATATAGATATCTAGAAGCCGTCTACGTTCTCTACCGTTCAGTGCTTCCAATTTTTCGCCATTTTTTTTTGTTTCCCCCAGACATCTGCAGACCCAATGCCCGCCGCCTCATTGATATCCCCATGTTTCCGACTTTCTTACTTTCTTTGTTATAGAACTAGAAAACTTGATGTCAACATCTAGATCTATCTGTTGCCTTTCCTGAAACAGTGCTGTATATATTAAGCTTAATCTGCCTCTGGTCGTTGGATTTTCTGATACTGATAACCGATTGGACAGCGTGTCTGCGCTTGAAGTGTATGAGTGTGGGTTCGAATCCGGGACCAGAAGTTTTTTTTGTGTTTTTAAAAAAATGGTTTTTCTCTTTCTTCTCCTCCTCCCGACTGACCAACAATTTGGCCCATTATTATAATTTGTTACCGGTAATACTTTGTAATTTCTTATTAATCTTATGTAGTGATGAAACGTGCAAATTCTGGTTTTGTCCCCAAGAGGAGCTTTTATCTACTAAGTCTAAGTATAGGCCTACTTTTCCTTTTACAAATTTATGCTTAGTTAAAGTACATTTTCAAGAGTGGCTTTCCTTGGTCTGTGAGTCCAATTTTTTAAATTTATTTTAGAATCAGAGAGGCCAAATCTTAGCTCTTCCCTTCAATTGCAAATTTTCTTTATCCAGGGCCCTCGTGCGGCCCCCAGACCCCTGCCAATTGTTCCTCTTGCCAATTATTATTCGTCCTGGTTGGGGGTCCGGGGGCAAATTGCTGGTCAGTAAGGAGAAGGAGAGGGGGGAAAAAAACAACCAACCCCCCCCCCCCCCCCCAAGTGTCCGGGACCGGGATTCGATACCACGCTTGGAAGCACTGAGCATTAGAGAACGTTGACAGCTTGTATACGTCCTCTAACGCTAGAGAACGTAGACACTACCCACAGAAATATCTCAACAGAAGAAAAGGCTCAACAACTTTAACTTGGACGTGTTGCTGTAAAAATTATATCTTGAAATAGCACGGTAAGATAGCAATATATATGTATTAACAGATCTTCTGGCCTCTGTGGTGAATCGGTCCAAGGTGTGTGTGTGTGTGTGTGTGTGCATGTGTGTGTGAGTGTGGGGGGGGGGGGGGTCTCTCGTTGTCAAGAGGTACGGTGTTTGCCCCTCATTCAATAAGTCCTAGGTTCGAAATCTAACAGCGGCGGAAAATTGTTTTCTCTCATAAAACTTCTCCTTTCACCTACTTTCCTGCTCTCATATTCTGTCGTCTGCTTTCGTCTCCACTGTTTGCCCCCTGCTCTGGGCCCCCGACTCTTTCTGCAGCCTTCCCACTGCTACTCCTTGGGTCCTTTCTTACTGCTGTCTTTCAGCCAGACCCCTAAAAAAATACTTACCAAGTGGAAAAAAGCGGTCAGGCGCCGTGCCGTTGCACACAAAAGACGAGAAATCGAGATTCTTAAGCTGGAAGAATTGTCATGGAGTAGATCTATAATATATGTGAGGCAGCGTGGTGGAGTCAGGCTCTCGTCAATTTTGGTCATGTAGAGTTATCGGTATCATCTTTAAGCCTCTTCGCTTGTCTTTACTTGGGTGGAAAAAAAATATCCATTTATCTTGAATACAAGTCGAGATATTTGCGAAAGAAGGAGGTGGGTGTCACTTGTATTCAGAGGTAAAATTAGTGAGAAAATGGCAGCCACAGATTAGTTATTTCCTTAGTTTAAGAGTCCATGGTAAGTGAAAATTTAAATTTTTTGTGCCTTTAATCAACGTTTTTTCAGAAAAATCCACTCAGAAATGAGTTCTTTAATGGGCATGAAAGGTGCTGAGCCAAAAAAAAAAAAAAATTTGATAAAAATTCACAAACCTGCGGAAAATGCAGGTTTCTTCACTTTGATTATTTTGACGAGAGCCTTATTTCACCACGCTGCTCTTCTTCTTCATCTTTCTCCGCTGGGATCCTGTATCTCTCTCATCTTGGATTGGCCCCATAGCCTTGTCCACTGTACTATAGGCCTACTAATATCCAAGACTGGACACCTCTGACGTAATTCCTGTTCACCGAGGAGCGCACTTTAGACTCGAATAGTAGGTAGAATCTACCAAATGAAGGGCAAAGGGCAAAGTTTCACGCATACTGGGCTGTCGCGAGATTTGTGTTTTGCCCTTCATCATGTGTGCGTCCATGAAAATATTTAAAAACATGTACATGTATGATGCGCACTATCGTGGAGACATTTATTTTCTTTTTATACTAGATCTATATTTTCTTCTTCTCTTTCTTCTTCTTCTTCTTCTTCTTCTTCTTCTTCTTCTTCTTCTTCTTCTTCTT